GTTTCTGTGGTTCCGTCGGCTGTTTCTGTGGTTCCGTCGGCTGTTTCTGTGGTTCCGTCAGCTGTTTCTGTGGTTCCGTCAGCTGTTGATGGGGACAGTTCTTGATGAGGTATCAGAGATGACGGCGGTCAGTTTCGGCTGATGTTCTGCTCTGTAAAATAAAAACTGGAACTTTCCTTCAACCTTTCTGAGGAACTCTGGTTTTGATGAGTTTATGGTTTTTCTCACACACTTGGTGTCAAACAGGAACTCCTGAGGAGCTCAGACTGACATGGATGAGGATTTTACACCAAGTCCTGATTACAGTCGTGTTCGAGTCTTTATCAAAACAAGGCAGAAGCCCATGAGCCTACACAGTGTGTACAGAAATCGTTTTGGATCATGCTCCAGAGGAAAACTCACCGATCTTGTTGTGGCAGCGATCTCCCTCCCAGCCGGGCTTGCAGACACACTGTCCGGTCCCGTCGATGCCGTCGTCACAGCTTCCCATCATGCAGCTGCAGGCTGACAAACAAACACAACTTCACAAACTGATCCAGCAGAAAACGGAGCAGGAGACTTCCTGCAGCTTGGTTCTCTGAACTGTTCAGCCCGTTGAGGTTCTGTGGTGTAAAACCACTTTCTCCTAATGTAAAACTCAGTTTGGATGTTCGCAGAGATCGCTACGATGTGATTTCTGCACTGAAGAAACATTTCCTGGGTGAAAAGCCCGAGGAGACATTTCAGAGAAAACCGTGCAGCTGAAAGGACCACGCTGTTTGATGTTTTTAACGGGGTTAGCAGAGCTACCGAGTAAAACCAGCGGACAGGTTCAGAGCTACGAACGAACCCGGCTGTGCGATGGTGCACAGCGTTGCTATGGTGACGAAGGGCCGCGGGGGACGAGATCCCCGGGTGAGATCAGGTTTTTTGGAGGATTGTTAAAAGGTCACCAAAAGAGCAAACTTACACTGAAGATGGCGGCTAACGGCTGAATCTTAACTGGATCGTTTGATTTATTTGTCCCCCCCCCGAGTGTTCTTAATACTTAAATACCTGATTATTATGGGGCTTTAGAAGTGTGCCATTTATTTGCTTTGGCCATAAAATGGTGGAGTGCCACCTGCAGGAGGAGGGACGTGTAAGAGTTTTCACTTTTACTTATTATTTGTTACTTATTAGTCTAAAGTGAAATTAACTCCAGACACTGGTAGCAGAGCTTCGGTTAGACAAAGCAGACGTCAATGTTCCCTCTAACCTGCGCACCTGTGCACTGCTCGCACGTTCTCTGCGCACAAGAAAGTCTTTGCTGCGCAGTAGCGAACTGGCCACAAGGCCGGATTAATCACAGGTGAACTTTCATTCCAGCCAATCAGCGTCTTCTAGAGGTTTGGCGCTGACATCCGAAGAAGCTAAGTAGCTACAAGCAACCATGGCTTCTAGCGTTTCCAAGCTTTACACTGCATATTTCATCGCATACCAAGGAATAATATTTGGCGTTGTGGATTTATCACAGAAGTTTACGGTCGTACGACGTCAAACAAAGGCGGTAAGTAAGCTAATCCCACGACTTGTGGCCGTTTTTATCATGCTAAGTGTTAGCAAACAGTAGTGCTCGGTGTAAATCTGGATGGTCAAAGGAAAAGTTTACAAGACAGTGGTGAGACCAGCTATGTTGTTTGGTCTGGAGACAGAGACATGGACAAAAAGACAGGAGACAGAACTGTAAGTGGCAGAAGTGAAGATGTTGAGGTTCTTCTTAGGAGAGACAAGGATGGAGAAGATCAGGAATGAGATCATCAGAGGTACAGCACAGGTTGAACAACTGGGAGATAAAGTTACAGAGGACACACTGAGATGGTTTGGACATGTCCAGAGGAGGGACAGTGGTTTGGACATGTCCAGAGGAGGGACAGTGGTTTGGACATGTCCAGAGGAGGGACAGTGGGTATATTGGTAGAAGGATGTTAGAAATGCAGCTGCAGGAAAAAGACAAAGAGGAGATACATGGATGCAGTTGGAGAGGACATGGAGGTAGTTGGAGTGAGGACAGAGTGAGATGGAGGAGGAGGACTTGCTGTGGATGCTGTGGAGGCCTCTGAAGAGGGAAAAGCCAAAAGAAGAAGGTTGTGTCATGTAAAATTTATTCTTACATAGTGAATTTCACTGAGAGTTCTTGCCCTGTGCTGATCTGCAGCATGAAAACATCCACTGCAGGAACTACTTTAAATTAGCTACTTGGATTTTTTTTCTGTCTTCTTTGCCTTAATGTTGGTCGATAAGAAATAAATGCCTCACTAAATGCTTCAGGTAACACCACTTCACTACCTCCACATTACAGCTATCTTTGTTTGTTCGAGTTTAGCTCACCCTGGGTTACATTTCCTCGTGGGTGGAGCGAGCTTACCGTTCACATAAAATATTTGATAACGTTCGTACAGAAACGATTCCTGAAAGTTGTTCATACTGTGTTAATGCTACATGTTTGTCTCTTGGCCTTAAAACTGGGTAAGGTTACAGTAGAACTAGCCCATTACTGGAGTTTTTATCAGGTATTTTAAGCTGCTAATAAACATTATGGATGATGATCATATTGCTTTATGCTAGACCGTTGCTAAGAAGGAGTGATTATTATTGTTTCATAATGGCTAGTGAATTTTTCCCGTAAAACTTAACTTGGGTGCTTCTTAGACTGTGACTAGGATGCGTGAGAGAAGCGGCGCATGCTCTATTCACACAAGGAGAGCTGTTGGTCAGGCAGGTCTTGTTGTGCCATTAACTCTAAAATAGTTATTGAATCAAGTGTTAACTTGTGTAGGTAAAACTAGATGTTAAAACAACCTGTTAAAATACACCAGAATGTAGGAAATGGCATCTACTTCATTCAAAATTTTCTGGGGGAGGACACCCAGACCCCCAACCATTGTGTCCCCCCACATTACAAATATGCTTCTGACACCAATGGCCACTGTGTTGCTAACCATCTTCCAAAGCAGGACCCTCAACAAACTACTCATCTCATGAACAACAAGATTGTCTCTTTCATTTGAAGTGGTTCAAATCACTTCTATTAAAAGTAAACTAATGGAAACTGCTGCTGTAATTTGATTCTTTTAACAAGCCATGTAACTTGCTATGATCCCAGGTTTTGAACAGGTGTGATACTGGTGTGTGACCACAGCGTGCACATCTGATGTGGTCCTCAGTGCGCTCAGGGAGCTTGTGTGTTTGCCCAGACACATGAAAAATTAGAGGGAACATTGGCAGACATGAAAACTAATTAATTACCTGAAGTGCCGTTATGCTCTGGTCTGGTTAGTTTTCATCATGGTGGTCATAGCTGGTATTTTGGCCTCGGTACCAGTGTAGAGCCAACACTGGACTCTCATTTGGCTGAGATCGACCACGTCCTAAATCAGCTAACAACTGCTGGTGCTAAAATCTCACTGTCAAAGTGCCAGTGGTGCAGAACCAAGGTGGACTACGTTGGCCTCCTAGTAGGTCCGGACGGAGTACAACCACAATTGACTCGCACCCAAGGTCTAGACAACCTCAAAGTCCCCACCAATCTCAAAGAACTACAGAGTTTTCTGGGAGTGTGTAATTACTCACGCCAGTTCATAGAGCATTATGCGGACCTCGCAAAGCCACTGACTGAACTCTTAAAGAAAGACGTCCCATTTGTCTGGACTGATACACAGCAGCAGGCAATGAACGCTCTTAAAGACAGGCTCAAGTTAGCCCCATGTCTAGTCTACCCAGACTACAACAAAGAGTTCTACTTGGAAGTGGGCTTCTCAACTCACTGCATGAGTGCAGGTCTGTACCAAATACACGACAAAGACAAGCGTGTTGTGGCCTACGCCAGCAAAACAATGGCAGGCCCTGAATTACGGTATTCAGACTGTAAGAAGGCTCTACTGACCACCGTGTGGGCAGTGAAACATTTCTCCTGCTATATTGGTGGACAGAGGATTATTGTTGAAACACAACACCAGCCTGTAACGTTTCTGCAAAATGGCTGTCTTGCGCCACCATTGGTCATTCCAGTGTTTCAGTGACTTGTTCAGCTCAGAGCAGAGGATATCCGTCCTCCTCATCTTTATTCCCTGAACATAAAAACTCTTCTGATTTTAGTTTAGACCAACGTTTTCTTTGGATTCTGAGTTTGTGATTTCAGGTGTGGTTGTTTCTGGCGTACCTGTGCAGTTGGCCCCGTAGTAACCGCTGACGCAGAGCTCACACGACTTTCCTTTGAATCCTTTGTGGCACTTGCAGACTCCTGAGCCTGTAACACCATCGTCACAGTCCCCGTGGCTGCCGCAGGGGTCCACAACACCCCCCGGACACACTGAAACGCAACAAGGAATGTTTAAATCAAGACAATTCAGGAGGAAACATTACGTTTCTCACCTTGGCAGTCCCTGCCGTAGTGGTTTTTGCAGCATTTCTGGATCCAGGAAGGAAACTGACAAACTCTCTTGCAGCCCATCCGGCTGAAACGATCATCCAGGTCATCATACCAATGGGCGTAGACGTTTCTGTACCTTGTGTGATGCCTGAAACAACGAGTTATCCTCCCCTGAAACAATATGAAATGTTTCCCTTTAGTGTGTTCAAACAACGTGTTGATGTTTTGGTTCTTACCATGTTCGAGTGTCCGAAGGAGCAGGATGGAGGGATGAGGCAGCTTCCACAGAGTCCCTGAAACATTTAAATTTAAGTCCCTCAGTTTCATTTATTTAACATTTGTTTTCAGGATTTCACAGAGCTGCATTTAGAAATGTTCGCTCGACTCCCGTCTCTCACAGCAAATCAGTCCTTCTTGTTTAAAGAAAGATAATTTACTACAATAACGGTAAAAAAGTAAACACTCCAGCTTTTAAGGGTCAACTTGTCAGGGCCTAATTAAATGATCTGGTCCTTCACGAGTCTTTAATGTCAGTGGTGACGTTAGAGAAGCAGCTGTTGCTGCCCATCAATCTGGAAAGGGTCAAAGGTCATTTATAAAACAGGAATCTGTTCTACAGAAAGAAAGATTATTAACAAGTGGTAAACATGTCACACAGCTGACAATCCACACAGGAGATTCACCCTGAAGGTCAGACCATGCAGTGAACTCCATCTCAGACTCTACAGGCCTCAGTCAAAGGTCAAAGGTCATGGCCTCTCCTGTCTAAAAACAAGATGGCAGCACCACTTAGGTTTGGAAAGTTTAATTTGAAGGAACCGTAAGACTTCTGGACCAGAACCAGACCAGAGGACAGATGTTTACCCAGAATGCACTGCAGCAAACAGCTCCTCCAGCTGTCAGCACGGGAGTGGAGGGCTGATGATCTGGGCTCCTGTCAGTCACTGAGTGGACCAGGAACTCCCCTGTAGACCAAAGGGTTCTGGAGTCCAACAGCTGAAGCTTGGACCAAACTGGGTCCAACAGAACCATGATCCTAACCACAGCAGCTGAATCAGATTATCCAGTTTTAAAACATCCTAAAGACCAGATTATTTTTTTAATATGTCCTAAAATGTAAGACCTTAGTACTGGAAGAGGAATGCATTGTCTCCTTAATTCTACTGGGTATTTCTTCCTCCACTCATCAACACTGTTTTCAACTCTTCTGGTCAGGGACTCAAGATCATAAACCCAATTCTGACTTTGGTAACAAAACCTTGCAGAGACTTTGTTAAAATTAAAAGATATTACTTTAAGTAGCATCTCAGTGGGCTGAAACTGTTGCCAAAAGGGCTGAACAATATTAGGAAAACTTGCAATCTGCAAATTATTGTTTATTTACTGATGACAATATTAAGTAAGTAAGTAAGTAAACTTTATTTATATAGCACTTATCATAGATACAATCACAAAGTGCTGTACAACAATAAAAAATAAAAGCTTAAAATGAAATAAAATAATAACAACTCATTAATAAAAACAGTAAAAACAGCTGAAAAAAAACAGTAAAACATTTAACTAAAAGCTTGACGAAATAAAAATGTCTTAAGCTGCGTTTTAAAAGAATCAACAGAGTCGTTCACACGGAGAGACAGTGGCAGGGCATTCCACAGGCGGGGGGCTACGGCCTGAAAGGACAGGTCACCCCGAGTTTTAAACCGGGTCTTAGGAACCTTAAGAAGGTTCAGCGCTGAAGACCGAAGGGTGCGGGCTGGAGAATAAGGAAACAACATTTCAGTAATGTATTGGGGGGCCTGTCCATTTAAAGCTCTAAAAGTCAAAACTAAGATTTTAAAATTAATTCTAAATTCAACAGGCAGCCAATGAAGAGAAGATAAAACTGGTGTAATGTGAGCCCTTCTGTTCGTTCCTGTTAAAAGCCTCGCAGCAGAGTTCTGGACCAACTGGAGACGAGCGACGGCAGTTTTGTTAAAACAAGTAAAAAGGGAATTACAATAATCTAAACGAGAAGAAATAAAAGCATGAATAATCATCTCCAGGTCAGATCTGGATAACATTGCCCTCAGTTTAGAAATGTTTCTCAGATGATAAAAGCAGTTTTTTACCAGAAGCTTTGAATGTTTGTCCAAAGACATGGACTGGTCGAACATAACACCGAGGTTTCTGAGGTTCGGCTGAGAAGAGGAGCCCAGAGAACCGAGGTGTTGTTTAATCCAAGGAACTTTCTGTTCAGGGGCAATGATCAGGGTTTCCGTCTTGTTAGAATTCAACTGAAGGCAGTTGTTAGCTAACCACGCCTTAATATGTGAAACACAGTTTACTAATTCAGCTAACTTATGTAATTCTGAGTCATAAAAGGAACAGTACAGTTGAATATCATCAGCATAGAGATGGTAAGACACATTTCTGAAGCTACTGATAATCTTTCCCAGGGGGGTGATGTACAGAAGGAACAGAATAGGACCCAACACTGAACCCTGAGGAACACCATTCAGTAACGGAGTGGTCTTAGACTGTATGTTATTAACAAACATTGAAAAGGTTCTGTTGCTCAGATAAGAAGAAAACCACTTAAGAACAGTTCCAGAAAATCCCATCTCATGTTGCAGTCGATGTATCATTATTTTGTGGTCGACTGTGTCAAAAGCTGATGACAGATCCAATAAAATCAAAACACTGCTCTGACCAGAGTCTGCAGCCATCAATATGTCATTGGAGACTCTTAATAAGGCAGTTTCAGTGGAGTGCATCTTGCGGAAACCAGATTGAAACTTATCAAGAATATTATTATTTTGCAAGAAAGTAGTCATCTGCCCAGCCACTAACTTCTCAAGAATTTTGGTGAGAAAAGGTATTTTTGATATTGGCCTGTAGTTGCAGAGCTCAGTGGGGTCCAAGTTGGGCTTTTTCAAGATCGGATTTAAAATTGTTTGTTTCAAAAAACTTGGAACTGACCCGGTTGAGAGAGAAATGTTAATTAATTCTGCCACATGGGGGCTGACAATATCAGACACCTTTAAAAACAGTGATGTGGGTACAACATCTAGCATGCAGGAAGAAGGTTTGATCTTTTTTAGAACAACCTTCACATCCTCTAAAGTGACAGGTGAAAATGAAGACCAGGGGCTCACTGTAGGGACAGAACTGGGGGTGACACCAAGAGCTGATTTAACACTTGCCCTGATGTTGTCAACCTTTTCCACAAAATAGTTTAAAAATCTATTGCAGTCATCTAATGTGAATACAGGCACCAGAGGGAGTGAAGGTGAAATCATATTATTAATGGTATCAAACAAGACTTTTGGATTTTTCTTGTTCATACTCACAAGATTAGAAAAATATGCAGACCTGGCCTGTTTAATCATATCATTTAGAGTTGAGATCAGCTCCTTTAAGTGTAGTCTGTGGACTTCAAGTTTTGTAGATTTCCACAGACGCTCTACCTTACGACATGATCTTCTGAACAACACAATTTCCTCATTTCTCCAAGGACAAGAGTTTTTACGAGAGGATATTTTGTGCTTTACAGGAGCAACCTTATCTAAGACAGACAGGCAGTGACTATTAAAAGACTCCACAAAGGAATCAGCATCACTGCAACTAGCGAAACAACTGGACTCAAAAGATTCTGAGAATTTCTCAACAGCAGATTGATTGATAATTCGCCTTTGAGAAATCACTTTATGAGGACAACTGTTGAGGTTAAAAGACAAATTAAAATAGACACAGCAGTGGTCGGTGACAGGAACATCCACCACACTCAGCTGGTCAATGATGAGACCAAAAGAGAAGACAAGGTCCAAAGTATGGCCCTTCTTATGTGTAGGCCCAGAAACATGCTGTTTGAAATGAAACGCCTCTGTGAGTGACAGTAACTCTGATGCTGCATTGGAGGATGAGTCATCAATATGAATATTAAAATCACCAAGAATTAAAATTTTCTCAAGCTTGATAACAGAAGATAAAAATTCAGAAAAATCCTCTAAAAACGCACGGGCAGGACCAGGAGGTCTGTAAATTAAAACACAATAAAATGAGTCAAAATTCCCAACCTTAGTCATCTGTAGTTCAAAAGAGCTGAAAGAATCTGGCTTCATGAGCCTGCAGGAAAAGCAGTCCTGATAGATGAGCGCAAGTCCGCCTCCTCGCCTGGCAACCCGCGGGGTCCCAAACACGGAACAGTTTGGAGGACACAGTTCATTCAGATGAATAAATTCCTGCTCCCGTTGCCAAGTCTCTGTCAAAAACATTAAGCCCAGACTTTCTTCATTGAACAAATCCCCAAGGATAAAAGCTTTATTCGCTATGGAGCGAGCATTCAACAGGGCGATCCGTGTTGGTTTTACGCGCACAGCTGCAGGTGCGCTCTGGGCTACCGGACATCGCAGCGGCAAACTAGGTCCGTCCATATACCTCTCCTGGCAGGAGACGGTTCGAAGGAACCGGTCACGCAGTGTGGGGAGCCGGGCTTGACGAGTTGGGAAGATCCGATCAGCATGCCACAGTGCCGGTGACGCACAGAACGGGGAAGGCGCACAGGACAGGGCCGGTTCGGAGATTGGTACCGGCCGGAGGCAGCGCTCATTTCCAGCAGAGCTGGATCCGCTCAGCCATGACGTTTTCCCTCGCTGTTTCCTCGTCCTGGCCTGGACGCCAGCTCTAGATCCCCGCTTCCTTCTCCGGCCTCGTTGCTTTGCCAGCAGCAGGTATTCGGGTGATGACGTGGCGCATTCAAAACGTAGAGGGAAAAACTCCGCATACCTGGTCCAGGTAACGCAGACATCCTCCATATAATATTTTATGGAAAATAACGTGTGCCGATCATATTGATATTGATTAACAGCCAAAGTAAAGTTGTTTGATAGGCTAGATAAAGCAAAATATAATACTAAACAAATCACAAGAATGTGAGACAGATGAGAGGGAACAGAAGTCCAGCCGTACACAGGCGCCATCTTGAATGACAACTGCGATCAACCTAAATTTTCCTGATTTCCTCTTCTGTCATAATAGTCTAAACCAGGTGTGGGCATCAAGGCCCGTGAGCTTGTTGAATCAGCAGAACATGGACAATGGTACTTTAAAGTTAACGATTGGTTTTAATGTAGTCCAAGCAGTTCGTCTTGATAATATTGTACTCACTGATATTGCGATAAGTGCGTGATATATTGTGAAGCCCCAGTTGGCAACACAATGGCGATTATGAGTTTCCAAAGTGTCCGGAAAGAAAAAAATTGTTGCATTTTTCTTACACTTTTGTGTCCAACAGTTGCAGCCCGGTGAGATACAACCTTTAAGGAGCCAAACAGCCGTTTCAGTGTTAGTATTGGACTGAGTGTTGAGGCAGTGTCTGTTTCAGGATTACTGACGGAGGTGGTTTTGTTCTCGATGCTGTCGCAGAACGCTCCCAGTCCGGGCGGCTCCAGCAGCTGGTCGATGCCATACGCCAGGCCCTCTTTGAAGGACATGAAGCGCTCCTCCAGCCTGGCTGCGTCTTCGTTAATCAATACTGATCCCTAAACACACAAACACGTCGTTTACACAACAACACAATAAAACAGGTCCACGGTTCAGTGCAGAATATTAGTCACAGCAGCTGACTGACGTGACCGCAGCAGCATTCAGCAGCATTCAGAGCCTCATGAACGGCCGTATAGTTTTTTTTACCACCAGCGTCTTGTCGCAGCTCAGCTTGATGGTTGATCCGTGCATGGTCCGATACTTCGTGGTTTGCCTCGGCTGACCGACCCCCGTCAGCTGCACACAAACACAAAAACATCCGTTCATCTTTTACAAGTCAGTACCTTATCTGTTTGTTTCCTACAAACCTACTCCTGAATCCAACAATGTTCAGTCAGGTCATCTGGATGGTTTCTTTTTTTTTTTTTTTTGTGCTGAGACGTTTCGCCCTCCATCCGAAGGGCTTCATCAGTCTGAGGAAACGCCAAACAAAACTGATTCTCCACCAACAGCTTACTCCAAAGTGGGAAAAAAATCAGTTCTGTTGGTGCTAAGATGGTCTCAGGGGCACTCCCTCTCCTCTGGTGCCCGCCCTCTCCCTCAACAGTCGTATCAAACTGGTTCAAAACACGTCCGCGCTCAATAATCCAGGTATAAAATCCAACAATGTTCAGTCAGGTCACCTGGACAGTTTCTTTTTTTTTCCTCTACTCCATAATCCTCAGCTTTAAACTGATATCTGACTAAAATATAATTAAAAGACATTGAGTGGTTTAGGGAAACTGCAGTAACGTCCTAAAATGAAGGCAGCCTTTCTTAAAGGAGAGCGGGTCGAATCATTAAACTGTGAGTCTGTGTGATCCCAACTTTCCCTCTCCCTTTGTTCCTTCGTCTCTTTAACCTTCCTTTATCAGCCTCTGTCAAAAAGCTTGATTGTCCCTTTGTGCAGCTCCTGATTGGATCCTCAGATACTGGACTTTATTCACCTGCCATGGAACTGCAGAGCTTTTAGTGCGCTTCATTTCCTTCCTCCCACCACACCATGTTCCATGTTTGCTGATATTTTCAGAAATGCAACCTGTCTAAAGATGTTTTGATAATAACTTGGCCTTCAGCTTCTCACCCTGAAACTGCGAATGATGTGAGCTTTGACGGTAGCAGCGAGCTGGTCCTGGTTGTCGGGGCTGGAGAGCCAGCGCAGCCTTTCAGCTGGCAGGGAGTCGAGGGCCTTGTCAGTGGGCCAGAAGATGGTGAAGGGCTGGTGGATGGACAGCTGGAGCAGTGGCAGTACACCTGCATCCTGCACAGAGAGAGGACACGTTACAGGTTGATCGTATTCTTTGTGTTATTTCTCACAAACTTTGTGTTTGTGCTTTAGTTTTAGAGCACGAAACAAACAGCGACTGAGTCAAGCGCTAAAATTGCACGGACAGAAGTGACTGATTTTCAAAGTAACACCATGCAGACTAACGAATGCAAATAGGAAAAAATAATCAAAATAAAACTTTATTCTTTCTAAGCGGCCCAGTACCAAATTATTAATTTAAATGATTGTTTTCATCTTTAAATCACTTCCTGGTCTGCTGCCTTCATACATCTCCTCCTACATGTCTCTGTGTGAGTGCAGCTACAGCGTGCGCTCTCAGGACATCATTACCTGCAGTGTTCCCTCAGTGAGGACTGAACTAGACAAAAGGACCTTCTCCTACTCCGCTCCTGTTTCCTGGAATATCTTGTAAAAACATCTGAAGCTCCTGACCTTGACCTCTCTAAGTGGCTTTAAGAATCTGTTGGACTCCTGGCAGGGACCAACGCAGACATGTTCCTGTTTTTAGTATTTTATTTATTTATTTTATTTTTATTTATTTTATTTTAGTATTTCACATGGGCACCAGTGACCCCGCGACCCAAAAAGGAAGAAGCGGGTAAAGACAATGGATGGATGGACGGATGAAAAATAAAGATCCAAGGCCCAGTACTGGTCCCCGGCCCAGTGATTGGGGACCTCTGGTTTTCAAGACGAGTGTTTTGCTGACCCCTTCTCAGTCTGTAGGAGCTGCAAGAGCTGGGAGCAACTGTACACACAGCAGGCACAATGGAGGAGCCAGGGGGTGGCCAATGGTGGCCTTGGCCCCCACTGATTAATTTTCAGCCACCCTAATCATTTGAGGAAGCTAAACTTTGAAGCAAAATACAAACTAGAAAGCATAGTTTCCTCAAATGATAGGCGTGGTCTGTTTACAAATATACAGGGTGGCAGCCATCTTGAATTTTGGCAATCCAATTTTCAAAAGAAAACTTTCGTACGCCTAGATGCAGCCACGCACCAAAACGGAAGTCAGTACCTCGCCTGTTTTTCAAGTTATCCTCACAACTTGCATGGGCGGACAGATGGGCAGAATTTCCAATTCCTCATTTGCTCCGTGACGGGGAACAAAGGACGATGATTACATGTTCTCGAGGTCAGCGTGATGTCAAACCGACATTTTGGTTGGGGGTAAATCCCGTTGTGTTGTGGAAAACTGATAGACAAGTGCAGTAGATTGTTTTGTTTTCCCCCAAACCAACATGTCAGCCTCCTTGTGCAGCGTGTTCACGTGACCAAGTACCCAGCTGTCCGACTTCAGAGAATTTCTATGCTAAGGAAAAATGGGAGTGTTGCAGCAGGAGGACAAAAAGCACCAAATACGCAGCTTTTTGTGTTTTTGTTTTGTTTTTTCTTACCTCAATGAGTTTATAGAAGCGTCTGTAGCCGTAAAAGGTGGCTGCTGTGCTGAAGTTCATCTAAAAACAGAGACACAGGCGTCATCGCTTGTTCAGATTTCATATTGATCAATTTCAAATAAACTCATCAAACCGTTTTAGAGTCGATCTGCAGTTTGTCCTGCAGCTTGTAGGGCGTCAGCAGGGTGTCAATGTGGTGAATAACCCCGTTACTGGTGGTGTAATCACTCTTCACGATCCTCGATATGTTGTTGATCCAGACAGAACCCTGCAGAGATAAGGAACAGGTGGGACCGACTGGTTTCTTTAGCTTCAAGGGGAAACGATGAAGAACAGCTGCAGATGTTTAATGAGAAGGCCTTCATTGTGATGGCACATAATTTATACCATGAAATTTATTCAAAGGCTGCCACTGAAACAAATGCTCAGAGACGGAAAAAAAAGGGCAGAAACAGCCACAAGAAACAGTTGAAACATTCCTTCATTAACAACAAAGTCCATGCTCAATAATCCAGGTATACAATCCAACATTTTTCAGGATTGTATACCTGGATTATTGAGCATGGACTTTGTTGTTTTCAACCAGTTTGACACGACTGTCAACAAGGAAGAGGGCCGGCAATGGAGGAGGGGCCGTACCAAAGACACCATCTTAGCACCAACAAAACTGGTTTGTTCCACTTTGGAGTAAGCTGTTTGGGGGAAGAATCAGTTTTGTGTTGTGTGTTTCCTTGACTGATGAAGCCTTCTGGATGGAAGGTGAAACATTTCAGCACAAAAAAAAAAAGAAACTGTCCAGATGACCTGACTGAAAAATGTTGGATTCCTTCATTAAAACTGAGATTAATACTTAAATGAGCTACAATGGCACTTAGGATGGTGAATTTAAAAGCCTAACTGGTGAAAACAGTTTTTCAGTCTGTCCTGATGCTGCTCAATAATCCAGGTAGATAAATCTAACCAGGTTCACTCAGGTCCTCTGGACAGAATCTTTGTTGAAACGTTTCGTCTTTTATCCAAAAGACTTCTTCAGTCTGAGCTGCAACAAACATAAGGATCCTGCATACTCCATCCGAAACGCCGGAATCGTCTCTCATTGTCGTCGTTGCGTGACAAAAATTTAAAAATTTTGTTTGCAGCGTAGCTCCGCCCCTTCTTGACACAAGGTCTTGACCGAACTTATTTTCACAGACGTAGGCACCAAGTGTCGTGTGATTGGTCAGAAGTTTGTGGGTGTGTTCTTCAATGTTGAAATGCGCTCAGACATTCAGCTGTCTGACTCTTCAAACATATTAAATTGAGTCAAAAGGCCCAAAACTCCTGGATGAAGATCGTGCTGCTGGAAAGTGTGGCGCTCTCTTCACGACAGGTTTGTGGCCAAACGGTGGATGCAGGGGTGGAGTAGAGACTCTGGTGGGAAGAAACCTGAACGGTGACATATACTGTAGGGGGAGGGGTTTCCAGGGAACTCTGCGTCTGTGTCTCATGGGCGATGAAATGTGTGTACTAAAACAAACGTCCCACAACCACGTGACCGCAAGCCGACTGATCAGCTGCGGATGGAGTGTCGGGCCCTTCAGTCTTACGAGCAGCACCTTCTCATAGTGGATCAACCAGTTTGCTGGTTGGGAGTTTGTTGCAGCACCTCAGACTGAAGAAGCCTTTTTTTTTTAAATAAAAGACGAAACGTTGCAACAAGAAGAACCTGTCCTGAGGACCTGACTCAACCTTGTTAGCGTTTCAGTCTCTTTGTTCTTGACTTTAAGGTGTTATATTTCCTTCCCGAGGGCAACGGATACGAGCCATCCTTGAGGGTGTTTTTATTTGAGGACAGCTGCTGATTTTAATCACCTTCTGCAGGGCTGACCTGTCAGCCTCTGACCAACCTGCACACCACACTGCTGAGCAGAATGCTAACTAAAAATGTATGCTAGCACTCTCCCCGTGTGGCTCAGTAGAAAAAGACAAGCAATCATCCTTAGAAGGAGCTGAGGACACTCAGGAGAACAACGTGATAAACCTCCATAGGGAGGCGCCCTAATCAAGAGACCAAACCACCTCAGCTGACTCTTATCAACGAGGAGCAGCAGCTCTACTCACAGCTGCCCGGATGACGAAGCACCTAAGGCTGAGACCCCCCCCCCCCACACACACACACACACACACACACACACACTGCGAAGGAAGCTCGTTTCAGCTAGAGCCACCAGTTTAGTCGGGGGTCTCCTGTGATGAGGAGTCACCACCAAGAGGGAAGAAGGTAAGACATATTTTCATTACTTTGTCCTAGTGTAAATTTAAGGAAATTAATAAAACAGCTATAGAACGACATCAAGCAGATCAGGAGAATACCAATTTGAGTTTTGTGTTTCTAAAGTATGTAACCAAGGTCATAATTATAACATTCTGAGAGGACTTCCCCTTTTTAATCACACTATAAGGTTTTTATTTTAAATTTTATTTTTGATTTTTCACTTTTGCTTATCGAAGCAAACTGGATTAATTTTTTCCATTTTTCCCCATCGGGACGTACGGAATTGATATTTTTTACTTTTCGCCCATCGGAGAATATGAATTAATAATTTTTGCTCAATGGAGCTTGGATTAACCTTTCAACTGGATTATCAACCTTGCGCACGCCAAGCACCAACTACCAGGGATTTCCTTCAAGTCAGAACTGGACTCTATCTGTTTTTTCAAATGAATGAATGTATGATTACCGTTGCTGAATTGTTGCTGTTCCCTGCAAAACATATTAAACACAAAGCCTGAGAAATTAAAGTTCTGGATCATTATCTCCATCGTCTCATGTTCATGGACCCAAGGTGCCTGGTTCAACCCTAATTTTAAAAGAGGAGGTTTTTAATGGTTTTCTCAGCTGTGAGTTAATTAAAACAATACCCTTGAGTCCTGGACTCTAAAACTAACCAGACCAGTAACAACTGCAATCTGCACAAAGGTGGGCGACCGTTAATGTGAGTTTCCTTGCAGACAACGCTCTAATCCCGGCTACTAGATCGCGTGGACTGCGGGGTGAGAACAGGGTGTGGCTCACCGATGGAGGTCGTTAGCAGTCTGGGTGAATCACCTTGACATACAGTCTAAGCAGGACTCGTTTCAAGTTACTCTGGGTAATACTCAAGTTCCATAAATGGTCCATTTTTACCCTTTTTTTGGCTGATTTTTATTGTTGTCATCTGTTGTTGCAGTTTTTTACATCGTTATTGTACAGACTACAAGTAATCTATAACCCCTCTTGTGAAAATAAAACAAACTAAAAGTCTAGCCCTCTCAATCTTGTGTTTGATGCAACTTTTCAAGGAAAACAGATGATTCATCTTGATTCTTACTTTAAACGTCTACGCTACAAAGACCTTTTAATATTGAACAAGAATGGAGCCTTAAACCCAAATCAGCAGATTTTAGATTATTTTCAGCTAAAGTTTAAGGAACAAAGGAGGTTTTACTGAAGCTGACCACAGCATGTGTCAGCGTCTTACCTGCTGCAGGCTGAAGTCCAGCGTGTATCCCGACACAGAGACGGCCCGTTTGGTGGTTTTGAGATCACTTAGTTTCAGAATCTCACAGGAAACGATGTGGTAACGAGCCAGATGCTCGATATGACCCAACCTCTTCCACTCATCCACCTGAAGCCACACGAGGAAACAATCATCATTAGGGATCCCTTAACGAGCGAGCAGAAACAGTCCCATGCAGGACCCAAAACGTGACACTTTTGATCATCAACATGCAGAAGATGTTCTCACGGTAGACTGTTTGTTGGTTTCCTCGAGCGGTACGAAGAGAGTGTACGGTCCGTCACCGTAAAGACCAAGAGATTCTGTTTTCTACAAGAAAAACAAAACGCGGACTTCAGCCTGATGAACGTGTCCAGAAGTTAAACACCACAATGAGCTGTTTGTGGTTTCACTTCTACACCTCAGATCTTTCTAGCGCTGTGGACTGCTTGTTGTTTCTGAATGTCCTGTTTGTCAATGTTTATATTAATAAAACAGATCGTCAGCGGCTGGGACTCACAGATAACATCTGCCGAAAGAAGGAGTTCTCCGACTGACGGTACACCTCCTGCAAGACAGAAAACAGCGTCCTGTGAGGAGGGAGGAGTTCAGCAGTGGGAGGTCAGAGGTCATGTCAAGTCAAATTTATTTATAAAGCATATTTAAAACAGCAGCTCTTACCAAAGTGCTTAACAATAAGATCAAGGCAGTAAAAAAAAAATAAAAAAATGTTGTAATTAAAAGCATCAAAAACAAAAACACAAAAACAATGCAACGATGAAATCTTAAATTAAATCACACTGTGTTAAACGTCAGAAACAGGTGTGTTTTAAAGAGAGATTTAAAAACAGGAAGTGAAGTGGCCTGTCTAACGTTGGGGGCAGATTGTTCCAGAGTTTAGGGCCCACGACTGAAAAAGCCCGATCTCCTTTGAGCTTCAACCAAAAGCAGCTGTTCAGATGATCTCAGTGCCCGAAAAGGAACATCTGGTTGAAGTAGGTCAGAGGTCATGAGGGTGTGAGGCCATTTATGCATTTAAAGGTCAACGGGAGAATTTTAAAATCAACTGAGATCATGTGACTCACATTGTTGGTGTTTCCTCTGCAATCAAAGCCGTCGCCCACGTGGCCCCTGAGGCAGGTGCAGTTCCTCTGACCCTGATCGAACCCACAGGTAGCATATTTACTGCAGCCGCCGTTGTTCTGCACAAACACACAACATGCACAATAAACTAGTGCACACGAGAGGAGACACAACTTTTAATGATCGATCATCAACACGAGCAGCGTCCAGGAGAAGGTTTCCTCTTTCGCTTCAAGGCTGGGCTAACTGTCTTTGTGCATGCAGTGAGGAGCTTGTCTTCAGCTAGAGGGACCATTACAGACTGTAGTTTAATTTGAAGCACTCTGCTTGAACAGGAAGTGATCCTTTCTGAAAATCAGTCCTACTTGATCAATTATAACTCCTCTATCCAAGGAAGAAAAATACTTTAGGATCAGCTAATCAGTAAAAGAAAATCTTTTTGGGGGTTCCTGGGCTTCTTTCCTATACCCTGCTTGAAAAATGTAATTTTCTTTTTACTTAGCCATGTCTAATGTAAAAAAAAAAAAAACATTCGCACATAAAAATGTAGCAAACTGACTTAATTCTGTTAATTTTCCTTCAGATTTCCAGAGTTTAAGTTTCATAAAGTTACAGACGGGACAGAGCAGGCGACTCAGACGTACGGTTCTGCAGGGGTTGACGGGAAAACAGAACCTTCCTGTTCCTCGAAAGCCCATCCTGCACACGCAGGCAGTCTGCACACGACAAGACAGAAAGAGACAAGTCAATTATTCTGGTGAAGGACAAGTTCAGCTAAAGGTGCAAAAACTTCGGCACAGTTTGTGCTCTCCTGCTGACACGTTTGCGGTTGCACGTTTTTTGGGGTCAGCTAAACTCCAGCGCCCCTTTTTGATGGACCAGTTAATTCTGGCACCTCCTCACGTTGATCTAAAACTTAGCAAGTTTGAACAGATGCAGCCAAGGGATTCAGAAACCACAGAACTGACACACCAGAAGAAAGAAAACTGTAAACCTTAAGAGAAACTGACAGTTTTACTCAGAACTGGGACACGCTTTGGTCCAGAAGTGGTTCTTACGGTATTCGGGCCGGTTCTGATGCACTCTGCTGCGCTGTGGCAGCCTCCGTTGTTGACCAGACAGCCGTCGGTTTCTGTGAACAGACGAGTGGAGGTTAAACCTAACAAAGTTTATTCAGACAGCTGTTGGATTGACCCAGGTCCTGTTGGAGTCGGAACATCAGCTGCAGGACTCGTAGCTCGACGACATCCTTCACGACTCCACCCGCAGGCTTCGTACAGGTAAAGTTTCATACGAAGCAGCTCTGCATAAAGTTTGTTTAAAACGTTTTTCTTTATCAATATTTTCCCCAAAGAAAAACATGAAGACCTTTTTAAATTCCTTGAAAAACTCTGAAAGCTGTTTCAGCTACTGCCTCTGTTTTTGTCTTTAAAGGTGACTCTTAGACTTTACTTAGCTTTCGGTTACTTTTAGGTACGTAGCTTTTAGCTGATTTTAGCAAACGTTTTGTTAGCTTGAACTTTTAGCTAAACTTTTAATCTTGTAGCTAGCCTTATGCTACTTTAGCTTTGCACTGACCTTTTGGTACTTATCATTTTGATAGTTTTTGCCATTTGTTTGCTACCTATAGCTAACTTTTTCATATTTTTTAGCCTTTTTTTCTTTTAGCTAGACTTGTGTTACTTTGAGCTTTAAAACAAGTTTTTTCTTATATAATTTAACATTTTACTAGCATTTTATCTTTTTGCTATAGTTAGCTTTTGGGGGAGTGGTGGCGCAGAGGCTAGAGGAGGCGAGCCTGTAATCAGAAGGTCGCTGGTTCGACTCCCTGGACTGACAACATCACAATGTGGATGGGAAAAGAGAAACACCCACACATGCCTTCGTCCTCATTTGCCCCACTTTGGACCCTTGAGCAAGGCCCTTAACCCCCACCATCTGCTCCCCGGGCGCCATACACAACAGCTTCCTGCTCCACACAGAGGGCTGTGGTAGCTCCGTGTCTGTGGTTGAGTCAGGAAGGACATCCGGTGTAAAAACAGTCACCAAGTCTTCATGCGAGTTACTTCGCTGTGGCGATCCCTGAAGGAGCAGCCGAAAGAAAAAAAAAAAGAAGCTATATTTAGCTTTTATCTAGCCTTTTGCTACTTTTAGCTAATCTTGTGCTACAATAGCTTTTTGCTATCATTTATACTAGTTTTAATTTGTAGCTAGGCATTTAGCTTTTTGCTACTTTTAGTTTGTAGCTAATACTTCTCACTCGCCATAATTTTTCTGCTTTTAGCTACTGTTGTGTTCCTTTTAGCTTTACCAAGTCAGTTTTTGCTGCATCAGCAATTTCAGCTGTCATTTAGCGCTCACTCTGCATTTTTGCAGAAAAAGTCTAGTTCTTGATTTAACCTCAGTAGATGTAACTAAATTATTAAGAACCAGATTCATACATCTTTTGCACTGCACTCAGTTCGGTGACAAACTGAGGCATGTTTCGAAGCTTTAAAAGACAAACGTTCAGATATTTAGGACTTATTGGCATCAGGAAGCGTTTAACTTTACCCAGGCAGACGACTCCATCTCCAGTGTACCCTGGTTTACAGGCGCAGGTCCTCTCTCCACCTGAGACCTTCGTACACACAGCAAACTCTGAACATCCACCGTTAGATTTGCTGCACAAATCCACCTCTGGGAACCAGAGAAGAGGTCAAAGGTCAGCGTCTGATGGGTTTCATGACATGTTGAATGTTTGTTTTTACCTTTGCAGAAGGTTCCATTTCCCTCATATCCAGCGACACAAACACAAGCAGCACCAGCTGATCCCTGAGGACCTGAAAGACAGCTACAGCAGGAGAGAAACTCTTAATAAGAGGTGTACATGAAGATAATAAGAAATGTGAGCCTGATCCCGTCTCCTGGGGTCACCGCTAACCCTGGATTTCAACTGGACCCTCATAAATTCATCTTTGTCCTTCAGCTGACAACATATTTGACTACATTTCATGTAAAAGTAGTTAACATTCACAATTCTAGTCTTTTATTACCTTTAACATTCTTTTAATGTGCAGAGTTTAAATATCTGTAGCTGGTTTGTCTGAAACAGAGCTCAGTGTTTTAATTAAATTACTTTTATGAAAAATGGTAAAAACGGTCACATGAAACAAACAACTGACCTTTCTGATGATAGGGACATTTACAGGCAGCGTTGTATGCAATATGTACAAGCTAATATGCTTCTTCGGAAGTTCTCTATGTGCTCAGTATCTGTTAAAACTGCACTCTTTAAAGCATATTGTACTCCAATGTATACTGCCCACCTGTGGCGGCATTACAGAAAAAGCAGGATGCATAAACTTCAAGTGGCGTACAATGATGGCATGAGGACGCTGCTTAAGGTGCCGCGATGGAGTAGTGCCAGTCAGATGTTTGTAAATGCCAACGTACCAACTTGCGCTGCTGTGCTTTGAAACCTTATGTACAGATGTGTGTGTAGGCTAACAGACTCTGTAAATAGCATCATTTATACTCTGACCAACCCCGTACAAAGCTCGGTTCGGTTCTCTTCTAGTCTGTGGAATCACTGGCGCCTTAGTTTATATGGCAATGGATGAACATTCTATTTTTAATTGTGTTTTGATGGTGTTATCTTTTTTTTGTGCATGTTTTTGTTTACTAGTATGGACCATGTGTGTCTGAAATAAAGTTTTTGATTTGATTGAAACAAGCGGATAGGTTTGCAGAAATGCTTAGTTTGTTTTATCATTATCAGCAACTGAATGTCTTCTGAGTTGAAATATTAAAACAGATTTATAGGCTGGCCAAGAACACTATAAAGTCACAATAGAAGGGGGTCTATGACTGTTCCTTGGGGTATACCACAACTTATCTGTTCAGATAGTGTAAGTACATTAAGAGGTAAAATAAAATTATTTGTTTTACTATAAAGTTCTTTAAAACCAGACTGAAACCTGTTAAACACTGACATATAATAAGAATATCCACGATGTAAAGACGGTTTTCTTTAGGACTTTACACAACATTTACCTTTAAAAGGATTTACCTGTCTAAATAAAGGTTGAATGAATAAACCAATTAAAAAGAAAACTGGATTTTAGTCTGAAGTCGTTTATGAAAAAAGGTCCATTTGTAGGTATGAGACAATCCCGCATCACGGCCGGTGTGTGTTTGTGGTGTGCGTCGTGTGAAAGGACTCCCTTGAATTACTGCGTTTCTCATCGGCTCCAGATATTTTCCTCTGAAGTTCCTCTTTCACATTTTTGATGGGATGGAATCAACGTGTTTTTTCTTGCAGCTCATGTGATGAAAATGTCGCTCCAGTTCCAACAAGCTTTAAAAGCATGTTTGAGTTCACAGCACTCAAAGGAAAAAACACTAAAATATAATGTTTTTTTTAATTATTGACTTTTAGGACAATCTGATGTTGAGAACGTGGTTTTTGAGACCCTGAACAAGGCACTTAATGCCTGTCATGTCCAATACAAAACAAAGAAACGTTTTATTTTTGATTCCCCATTTATCTAATGTTTTTCCCATCTAGTTTGAGAAATGGGGATTATTTACTTTGCATGATAGTTCCAGATTATATGGTTTAGTTTTTAATGAACTAATAATGAATACAGGTAGCTGATGTAAAGTCAATCAGGTTTTTTGGGTTTTCAAGGTTAAACGAGAAGAGAGTAACTTTTCCAAGACTAAAGTTGCTATAACTTCCTTAATTCTTCAGCAATCCAGACAGTCTTGGTGTCAGTCTTATATCAAGCTCGATCCACTGAATATGTCAAACGAACAAATCATGGACCGTCTCATACTAATCAAATCTGATTTAGTTCCAAAATGAACAACGAGTTGTTAAAAACATTTTTAATTTGCAGGACTTCACTGGACGCATGTTGCTTCTCTACAAGGAAAGATTGAATCTTTTCTGTACCCAGTGAGTTTTGAGTCTGGATGTGGACTCTCGGGGTCTGTCTAACCTCATCCACTCAGTCTCGGCAGAACCTCCAACATGTCTGACAGATGAGATGTGGCTTCGGGTCATCAGCTGTCAGTTCTCTTCCCCATCTGCAGCCTGGAGTTTTAGTTTCTGTCTCTTGTGTTTTCCCTCCACTGAGTCTCCTGTGCTTCCTTGTTGTTTCCTGTTGTGGGCGTGTCTCGTTCCCCCAGGGCACTGATCTCACCTGAACACCTGTCGTCATTAACTGACTGCAGCTCAAGTCTGAAGGTGGGTTGTGTTTCTCTACCTTTAACTGCTTAACAGTCGTTACCACCTGATTCAGATCATTCCTCTCATGCCAAATTCAAATCCTTACCAGAAAATTCAAGTTTAATTTTCTTGGCTTCAGAGTCATGAAGTTTTTACAAAACAAGCTCAGCTTTTGTAATAAAAACCAGGTGAACGCACGAGGATGTAGGACTTACTTGGCGTTTTCATCGCACACACCTCCACAGGCGTCATCCTTGATTTCTGAAACGCACAGATTTGTTGTGGAAACGTGTCAGAAGAACATACGAAGTACCTTCACAGGTTATGTTTGCGTCTCACCTGTAGAGCAGGAAGCTCCTTTCCATCCTTTGTAACACGCACACCGGCCACTTCCGGTCAGACCGTCGTCACACTTCCCGTGATCACACGCACACTCTGCAACACAGAAACTTAGTCTGAAGTCCAAACAGGCGATGAGCTGTTAGCAGACACAGGTTAATGAACAGCAACAGGACGTGTTTCCATTAGGTTTTATAAATAAATTCTGATTAACAGACACAGCAGGGTTAAACTGGGCTCTAAATCCAACAGAGTATTTAATAAACAGTGCGCTACAAACTTCTTCTCTTATAGTTTGACCAACAATCAGCTGCAGCTGTTTGTTTCCAACACAAAAAGATAAGAAACAAAGTCTGCACAATGAGTTCCTCTTATTTGGTGAATGTGTCCTTCAGCCGAAGTGACTGAAAACAACGGTGACGTTCACAGGAGAGCCGTTTGGGATGAAGAAGTCTGACGGTTTCCATGCGTTGCTCCTTCCTCAGGGGTCGCCGCAGCGACTAACTCGCACCAAGAGTTGGCTTCTTTTTTTTTTTACGCCGGATGCCCTTCCTGATGCAACCACAGACCACCGAGCTACCACAGCCCTCTGTGTGGAGCAGAGAGCTGCCATCAGGGGTGGGAGCAGCTGGGGGTTTACAGGCCTTGCTCAAGGGCCCAGAGTGGGCAGGTGGAGGCAGGTGTGGGCGCTTCACCTGACATGTTGAACACAGTGGACGTACAGTTTGATATGGACCAGACCTGCAGGGTGAACTCTGAAAGTCGCCGCGCTTCACGTAAAGAACGGTGTTGACAGATGTGACGTTTTACAAAACAGCAAATATAACGTTTTATTCAGACAAATTTATTTCACGAGTTCTTTACGTAATGCTGCTTTTTCCAGTTAAAATAAAAAAGAGACAGCTGTCTTACTCGTCGTCTCTTCTGCTGGATTATCAGCAGAATCACTCTGATAAAGCCGTCTCTGAAACTCTAGGCTTGTCCAGTTCTGCCATTTTTATTTACCTCCACGGACTACAGCCAGCCTAATGTCGTGTCTAAAGAAAGGTCTACGTGGCTTTCAGCAGATTCAGCCAAGGGTTTCGTTAACATTTGGCACTTTGCCACTGTTCCAGCTCTCCTCGGCTCCGCACGACACTGCACCAGTTAATGGCCTCCCCACTGCCGGTACCACCCAACTCAGCCCGGTTCATGGGACCACCTTGTTCATGATTCTGTTTTTGTTGGTTTCTACGTTTTTGGTGTCCTGTTATGTAATCTGTTGCTGTGTGCTTGTTCTGTTTGTCCCTGTACAGCACTTTGGTGTGCTTTGTCACTGTTTAAAGTGCTATATAAATAAATTAGTATGGTATGATTCCAAGCTAACTGCGCCGAGGGGCCAATTCTGATGTAAGCAGACAGCAGCCGTTGATTGGTCAGCAGAGCTACGTCACTGAGTGACCCGCCCAGCAAAACTGCAAACTACATCAGAACGTCCACTTCCCCGTCGTGTTGACGGACGGCGCCACAAGAGTTGAGCACATTTACAAAAAGATCAGAGATCAAGGACCACAATGGATGGAGTGGCTCAGACACAATGACCTGTTATGATCCCGCCCACAGAGCGGGGAATCAGGTCACTGAGGCAAATCACCTCCACCTGAGAAGAACCATATTCTAATATTGTGTAAGTTGTTCGGTGCCAGGAGGGCTGTGATCAGGTAAATATTGAGGAAACTAAACGGCAACTGGCCAAAAGAATGGAAGATCAACATCATCAGGCCAGGACTCTGAGGTCTAAACTCATCTCCAGGCCAGCGGTCACTCTTTCAGGGATGAAGACGTTCACATCCTGGATAGAGAGGAACGATGGTTTGACAGAGGAGTGAAGGAGGCCATCTTTGTGAGGAGAACACATCCATCATTAAACAGGGGCAGAGCCTCTGTGTCCAACTGTCCCCCTCTTATTGCTAGTATCACTCAGCCCTCTGTGAATAACAAGCAGCCATCAGGTGCTAATGATCAATTGTTAGTGTGTGTGTGTGTGTGTGTTGCTCACTGGAGGAGCAGTTGACTCCGTAGCGTCCCGGCTCACAATCCTCACAGGCGGTGCCGTGGAAACCCTCGTAGCAACGGCACTCTCCGTTGCCGTGGTTACCGTCCTGACACGCCCCGTGGTTGGAGCACCAGCTGCCGACGTCTCCGGGGCATTTGAAGCACTCGTGGCCGTAGAAACCAGGGCAGCAGGAGTGGTCCTGCGGGGACAGACGCGTCGGCGTTACGATCGCTAACGAACCCTTTGTTTCAGGCGATCATTCGCGCTGGAAACGTTCTGTTTCACGTTTAATTTTTACGGCCGTCACAGAGAAAACCTGGATTATTATTATTACCGGGTACAGAGCTGATTCTTACGCTGCTACTAAAGTTACGCAGTTTAACCACTTTCATAAACAGAGTCCAGTTTACCACTGGTTTTGTTTGTCTCACTTGTAAATGAGTCTTTGAGGCTCAATGTGATTTATCTGTTTAAATAAAGGTTGAATGAAAAGTAAACAATAAAAATATTCTTGTTTAATGGATTCTTAAAAAAAAGTGTAACAACAGTAGTTCTAAAACTGCAGCAAACATAAGAAATTAACTAATTGAGCAAACATTAAGAATTTAATCCCTTTTCTTTAGTGCTTCATTATAAACACCTTGACGGTGATGAATAATGTACAGCAGTTAGAGACGTTAAGATCAAGATTGTTTGATATTAACAGAAAAACAACATCCTGTTATTGTTTGCCCCACTTCCACAGCAGAGCAAATAAAACGTACATTAAATAAAAGTCTTTGTGCACATCTTTGATCCCATGATTAATCCATCCTAATTTATATTCCAGGTCCTTTTCAAACGTGGCACTAAATCAGATTCATATCTGATGTTTTTCAAAGCAACCTCAGTCTGAACGGTCACATCTGATGACCTTTACCTCATTAGATGAGGGTATGCGGATCAATCCAAATACTGATACCAACATGAGCATCACAGACCTGTTACTGATCAACCTCGTGTGGCTGGACGCCACTTGTGCCTCTAAGAAGTTGGACGCAGACCGCCCGTCTCTTGTTGGCACGCAGGAGTCTCGTACGTTTTCAGATTTAAGCAGACAAATCACTCCACCTAAGAACGGCCGTGCGCTCCCACCCACAGAATTAAGAAAGCTGTCGGTCCTGTCCGTGTCCAGACCGGTAAGTTTCCCCATGTTGAGTCAAATTAAGGCTCCACTCCCTTCCAACAATCCCTTTACATTTCAGCTTTGCAGCCAAACTCCCCCAGAACACAAACACTGGTTCCCCAGACGCTGCGCTGTGGGAATAACGCTGCCCGATTTACTAGTGGGCATCGTTTATGGTCGGAAATATGATGTAATCGGATTACCTTCGAACCATCGACTTCTGTTCTTGATTAATGAAAACATTGTGGTCTTTGTTGTTTTCAACCAGTTTGACAAGACTCTCAACAAGGAAGAGGGCCGGCAACAGAGGAGGGGGCGCACCAAAGAGACCATCTTATCACAAGCAGAACTGGTTTGTTCCACTTTGGAGTAAGCTGTTGGGGGAAGAATCAGTTTTGTTGTGTGTTTCCTTGACTGATGAAGCCTTCTGGATCGAAGGAGAAACGTTTCAGCACAAAAAGAGAAACTGTCCAGATGACCTGACTGAAGAATGTTGGATTGTATACCTGGATTATTGAGCATGGACTTTGTGTGATCTAATCTAAATGCTTTTTTTCTTGAACTATTTTGAAAAATAAATTTAAATTTGTGTTTGAAGCAGAACAACCAACAAATGTTCAACATAATTATTAACTGGAAGGAAAATAATAAAAACATTTTTCTTCTTTCGGCTGCTCCCTTCCTCGGAGGTCGCCACAGAGAAATAACTCACATGAAGACGTGGCAACTATTTTACGCCGGATGTCCTTCCTGACCCAACCACAGACATCAAGGTCCATACTCAATAATCCAGGTAAAAAAATCCAACAACGTTCAGTCAGGTCATCTGGACAGTCTCTTTTATTGTTGAGACCTTTACCTGGATTATTGAGCATGAACCTTGTTGTCTTGAACCACTTTGGCTGTGGCTGCCTGGGAGGAGTTGATGGGGGAGAGGACGGCCCCCAGAAACCATCTTATCACCAGCACACTGGTTGGTCCACTGTAGGAGTGTACTGCTTAGTGGGGAAACAGCTGGTTTGGGAAACTGTCCAGATGACCTGACACAACCACAGACCACCGAGCTACCACAGCCTCTGTGTGGAGCAGAGGGCTGCCATCTAGGGCGCCCGGGGGAGCAGATGGTGGGGGTTAAGGGCCTTGCTCAAGGGCCCAGAGTGGGGCAAATGAGGGTGGAGGCAGGTGTGGGTGTTTCACCTTTCCCACCCACATTTTTATCTTGTCAGTCTGGGCAGTTGAACTGGTGAGCTTCTGATTACAGGCCCACCTTCTCTAACCTCTGCACCACCACTCCCCTAATAAATAAATAATAATAATGTTTATAGAAACGGTTACAAGCTGCGTCATTAGTAAAAAGGGTTTCACTAAACACCAAATCTGCTGATCAGTGACTAATATTTCTGAACTATTGCAACGTTTTTGTAAAAACTCAAACCAGAAACCCTCGACTTCAGCGCATCTTCACCTTATTTCAGGTCATGTTTTAAAATATTGTAGGACCAACATGTGTAAAGTTGTCCCAGAAAGAAAAAGCGGTAATGGTGAGGACTTTTGATTCAGAGCGGGTCGGCTGAACTGAGGAACAGTTAGACTTTGGTTAGAGCAGTTAGAAAAGTTGTCTGACCGTGGTCAGCCGAAGACACTGGAGGACACAGCCTGGCACAGACTTCCTCCTGGATCCCACTCGCCTCCTGTACAAACAGTTGGACTTCATGTTGGCAGGAAACGTCTCTCTGATCTGCAGCAGGAAACAGAGCCACAGAGCAGACCATTGTTAGCAGGTAGAGGACACCTCCAGCTCTCAGAGCCGCAGGCTCAATCAATGCTTTGTTCAACCCGGATATCAGTTTTTACTGTGCAGCAAGAGACATTAAAAATGGAATCAGAGCGCAGCAGTGCAGTTATTAAAAGAAAGAGACGAAACGTCTTTCTTACTGGAGTGTAGCTGAAGAGGCACCGAGGTGGTCCTTCACAATCCGAACACCTTCCCTGGAGGAACAGAAAGACAGAAAAGCTGGATTAGCTCAGGAATCCATCTGTTCACTCATTTATTTACTAATTTATCCTCGCATAATTTACTAATTTCATACTTTAGTGCATTTGCTCAACTTTCCCTTCAATGTGGAACTTTGCTCAGCACCAAACATCACATACTAAAACAAGTACTACACCTGTAGCTCGTCACATGAACATAAATCCTACACGATGTACACCATCTCATTATTAAACTGAAACTAAACAAAATCAAGAAGCACAATCTACAGCTGAAATTAAACTTTTATGAAGATTTTGATTTTCTGTGACTGAATTCAAATTATTCCAAGATTCAACTGTTGGGCATGTGACTAAAAACCTTTAATGTAGAGAAGTTCAGTGACTGAAAAGTGCCCCGAGCCCAAACCATCAACCCTTCACCACAGCTGGGAGGAGCTGCTTGCTGCAGTGCATTCTGGGTAAACATCTGTCCTTTGGTCTGGTTCTGGTCCAGAAGTCTTGTGGTTTCTTCAGAGGAAACTTTCCCATCCCAAGCCGTGCTCTCATGTTTTTAGAGAGGAGGCCATGACCTTTGACCTGCTAAACAAGGCCTATAGAGTATGGAGCTCATTTCTTTGAGCACTGCACAGTCTGACCTTCAGGGTGAATCTATAGTCAGCTGTCCTAAATGATTTCCTCTTGTGAATAATCTTTCTCTCTGTAGAATGATGGACTCCAGATAGTTTGAACATGACCTTTGACCCTTTCTCGATTGATGGGCAGCAAGCATGGCTTCTCTGAGGTCATTGCTGACGTCTTTTCATCTTGGAGTTGTGTTGCAGAGGAGCAGAAACTGCTGCTTTTCTAGACGAGATCCCATTGACGATTATCAGTTAATCAATATGTTGCTCTGAAGCTCTTTGCTGATGTCCAATGTGTTATTCATCATCTCAAGGTTTTATTGACAGTTTTTGTCCGAATCATTAAACCTTGGACACACCAAACGACGCTGAACTCGCAGTAATTGTTTTGAGGGTGACTGTGAAGAAAGACGACGTATTCCTGCACCCTTACTTTGATGTGCAGGGAGACCTGTTGGCTGCATCGGTTGCGTTGAACTTTGAGGACCTGCGGGAGGACGATGATGACGCCGTACAGCGTTTCAGTGAAACTGCTGTTGATGAGAACGTTGTTCACGACTGTCTGGAGAACAAGAAAAAGGGAAACAAAGTCATTGTGACGAGCAGATAAGCCGTTATACACACTTTTGACAAAACCATACTGACGTATTGTCAGTGGAGTTTAGGTAAAGGTTATGGATGTTTATCACTAACGTTAAATTAATGTTGAACCATGAGTGTGAAGTGTGTGAGGTCAGACAGTCTTGTCTGCTCAGAGAGGAGCTGATTTGAGTCTGCATATACAGCTGGCAGACTGAGGCCACCAGAGACTGATGAGCTTTATAAAAATCACTTCCTGCCTCACTGTCCGGTGCAGACGCTCACTGACGAGGCTCGGAGCATGTAACTTTGTACATCTGTGACCCTTGCAAGTAAAAGAAAAACCTTGTTGTGTCCTCACAGTGGCTTGTGTGAGTAAGCAGATGATGAAAGGATAATTATTTATCCAACACATATCCACAGCTGCTTTGTAATCCCCTCATCAAGTCCTCACAGATGGAGGTGGAGGTCCGCCTGTTCTCTCACAACAGAATAAATCCGTTGTCTTTTCATTGACAGGCACCACCGTTCAGTTGAATCTCCTCGTTCTTAAACAGCGTCCGTCACACAAATCGTTTCCCTTAAGTTTACAAATGTCCGATCAGGAACGCTAACCTGGCTGCTTTTAACCCGTGACATGCGGGCTTTGCAAACAAGTTTAATTTATTCACTCTTTCTTTGGTTACAAAGTTCAAAGTGTGTTCAGATGTTCATGCATTTTATTTTATTCATCTCCTGCTGAGTTCTGCTGGAGTAACATCTCCACGCTGTTAGCATTAGGCTAAGGTCGGCTACGTTTCTTCTTCTTTGGTGTTTCGCACCAGATAAGACAACAACCTCGAAGTTTTTATATTGGCAGCCGAACGCAGACATTAAAAAACTGGGAGCAGAAAAACACTAATCAGTGATAGTTTTATATAAATGCATAATTTGCATTAAGCATCACAAACAATGATGAGTCCAGCTACAGGCAGGAGGTGGAACACCTGGAGAGCTGGTGCAAAGAGAACAACCTTCACATCAATGTGAAGAAGATGAAGGAGATGGTCGTGGACTTCAGATGGAACAAACACACCTACCCTACCCCCCTGAATATAGGAGGATCTCCAGCTACAAGTGCTTGGGTGTGCACCTGAACAACAACCTCAGCTGGAGCAACAACACCACCAGCCTGATGAAGAAAGATCATCAGAGACTCTACTTCCTCAGACGGCTGAGACGAGCTGGTCTGGAAGCTCAGTCCTCACCTCCTTCTACAGGTGTGCAGTGGAGAGCATCCTGTGCTCCAGCATCAACGTGTGGCATGGAGGCTGCACAGCTGCAGAAAGAAAAGCTTTGCAGAGAGTGGTGAAGGCTGCACAGAAGATGTTGGAGTCAGCCTCCCCACCATCACAGACATCTACACCTCCAGATGCAGGAAGAGGACCACCTGCATCATGAAGGACCACACTCACCCAGCACACACACTTTTTGCCCCGCTCCCCTCAGGAAGGAGGTTGAGGAGCATTAAGTGTAGAACCACTAGACTGAGGAACAGCTTCTACCCTGAGGCTGTTAGACTCATGAATCTCTAACCAGAATAATCACTGTGGAAAATCACAGTAACGCCACTTTGATTGGTGATATGTGCTGCTGATAATTCATGCTGCTGATTATTTCATGCTGCTGTATTCACTCGTACCCATCTGCTCACTCTCATGTTCGGGCTGCTGTTGTTACGCTGTATTGTTTTACATTATTAGTGTTTAGCGTATATCTTAGATTTTTTAGCGTACCGTTTGCCATTAATTTACATCTTAGTGTATACCTAAGATTTACAATTTATATTTTTGCTATTGTTGGGTGTAACTGGGACCTTGGGTACATAATTTCGTTCCACCTCGTGTACCACATGTGATGAAAAGACAATAAACCTACTTGAACTTGATGTAAACGCATCCCCAGACGAAAGTTTTAGTTTTGAACAGAAGCAAACGTTTCTACTCTCCCTCTAAAAAACGCTTTGATGGATTTGCATCAGTTGGTCCGGACTGTCTGAAAATCTGAATAAAACCAGAAAAATCACATCCCTGTTATTAACTTCTTGGTCTCCTACTCCGCTCCTGTTTCCTGGAATATTTTTCAAAAAGATCTGAAGCTCTCAACCTTGACCTCTCTAAGTGGCTTCAAACGACTGCAAGTTCATGGAAAAAACCAACGCAGACATGTTCCTGTTTTTAGTTTCCTACATCGCCCTACAACCTAGCTGTTTTTTGTTACCTTTTTTTAATACCATTTTATTTTCTCTTGTTATTCTCAATTTGTATGCATCTTTTATGACTGACCACTGTTGTCATCATTCTTTGTTAAAATCAGGTCTCTCTTGTAAATGAGTCCCCGATGCTGAATGGGATTAACCTGTAGAAATAAAGGTTGAATTAATTTTAAAAATCTTGTCATTATCAAATGAACATCGTCGAACAATGTTTGTAGGTAAAATATCTACTTTTAATGTCTAGCTATTAAAACGTGTCCATTTGTATAACTTCACTTTAATATTTCTTTTGATTAAACGTTTCTGCTGAAACATCCCAATGTTCGCTGGAGAATCGTCTGGAACTGGACCTGCCAACGTGTCGCCTCTGGTCGGTTCTTATGTAAATAAACTTCTGGGCTGCCTGAGAAGAAAACCAGCAGCGCAACTTTAGATCTGACACGGGTCGGGGTTCTGGTGTCGGACATCTTGGTCATAAAGCTGTGAAGCGGCTGGTTGTTACCTGGTTGTTGTTGTTCAGGTGGAACTGGACCTGGAAGTCGGCGCCCAGCAGCGTGCTCTTCAACAAACCGTCGTGCAGGTGATCCGGGAAGAGCAGCTCTTTGGAGATCACGTGGTACTGAAACGTATCCGGGTCCTGGACAGCAGAACCGAACGACTTGTTCAACCATTTCACGTTTATATTTGTACTTCAACTACAGTGGTCAGGAGGTGTGAAGAGCATCTGTTTATTTAATCTGACCCAAAATACCACAGATTACAGAATCACGGCCATAATTCTGCTTTTAATCTAAGGATTATTTTAAGCTGCAACTCAAAATCAGCGTCCTGAGGTTCAGGTTTGCATTTAACTGTTAAACATAAACCTTTTCACTTTAGCTTTCAGCCTGTTACACAAATAAAGCATCTATTTGTTGACAACTGTAATCCGAAAAAGAAAAACTCTACGTCACTGAGCGCAGAAATCAGATGAAATCTGCTGAAATCAGCCGGACAAACCCGAGCTGGTAAAGTTAAATTAGGATGAACAAAAGCTAAAAGGATCATAATGGCAGATAAAGAATAAAAGTAGATAAGTGTAGCTAAAAGTATCAAAACTAGAGTAACTAGAGGCTCAAAGTAGCTAAAGTTTAGCTATAGGCTTAAAGTAGCAAAAGGGTAACTAGAGGATAAAAGAAGATAAAGGATAGCTAAAATCTAAAAGGCTAAAAACTAAGTCCATAAAGGCTAACTAAATGTTAAAAGTAAAAAAGAAAAAAAAAGCTATTTAAAGAAAAAAGTAGCTAAAGGTTAGCTAGAGGCTAAAAGTAGGTAAAGTCTGATTAGAGGCCAAAAGGAGCTAAAGAATAGAGGTTAAAATGAGCTAAAGTGTAGCTACAAATTAAAAGTAGTAAAAGGATAGCTAGAAGTAACAAAAAGTTATCTAAAAGTAGCTAAATGTTATCTATAGGCTAAAAGCAGCTAAAAGTTAGATAGACAAGAATTACATAACATCTACTATTTTTGCTACTTTCTGCATTAGCTAAAATTAAGAAGTTTAGCTAAAAGTTAAAAATGGCAAAAGGCTAGCAAAAAGTCACAAGTAGCATAAAAACAGCACATTTTCTGAAGTAGATGTAGAAAGCACAAAGTTCTTCAAAGGTTTGCAGAGTTGTCCATTAATTTTAATGAGACAAATGTTAAGTTAAATATTTTTAAAGTATAAGAACGAGCTGAACATTTTGATCTGGGAAAGAATGGTAGGAAGACTTCCAGTTATCAGGCTCCTCTCTCTTGAGGAGAAAAGGTGCTTCAAACAACTACACGTATTAAAGTAAATTACCATAATATGAGTTTTATGAACATTTTTAATTAAAAAAGCCCATTTTCAGTGGAATCAGCTTGTTTATTTTATTTATTATTTATTTATTTATTATTCATAGGATTATTGGTTTGTCATCTGACTGTCCAAATATTTATTTAAAAAGTCTTCAGTTGATCCAAAATGCTGCTGCCAGAGTCTTAACTGGAGTTACTGGGAGAGATCAGATCTCTCCAGTTTTAGCTTCTCTCCATTGGCTCCCTGTCAAGTCCAGAATAGAATTAAAAATCTTACTTCTAACCTACAAAGCTCTCAACAACCTAGCTCCATCTTATATTACAGATCTTATTGTTCCATATTTTCCTAACAGAGCACTTTGCTCTCAGACTGCAGGTTTACTTGTGGTTCCTACAGTTTCCAGCAGCAGAATGGGAGGAAGATCTTCCAGTTCTCAGGCTCCTCTCTTGTGGAACCAACTTCCAGTTTCTGTCCATGAGGCTGACACATTGTCCAGTTTTAAGACTGGGATCAAGACTTTCCTTTTTGATAAATCCTATAGTTAGGGTTGGCTTGTTATGCTGCTATAGGCTTAGACCACTAGAGGACAAATTGACCTCATTTCCTTAAATGAATTGTTAAAACTGAATAGTTTTCATTTGATACTATTTCTATCTTAACATGTGATTCTTGACCTGCCATTGTGTATCTATTCCTACCAAATCCAGCCGGTCAAAGCAGATGGTCCTCTTGTCCTGATCCTGGTTCTGCTAAAGGTTTCTTCCTCATGAGGGAGTTTTTCTTTCCACTGTCGCCTTCATGCTTGCTCAAGATGAGAGTTCTGTGATGGAGTTAAACTCAAAGCTGCTCCTCAGATAAATAAAGTTAAATTATTATTTTATAGATGAATGTTTCTGATCAGTGCCTGAGACGACTTCTGTTGTGACTTGGAGCTTTAGAAATAAACTGAATTGAATTGATATGTTTACTGTCAACTTAAAACAGTTGCTAAGGTTTCCCAGGTTTAACAATCTGCTTTCAACATCATCCAGACAGATTTGTTCCGTCTCAAACGTGTCCTGAACGCAGACAAAACCAAAGGGATGTTGTTTTCAAACAGGAAGTTGGTCCCAGCAGTTCTTCCTCTGATTTTATCCTCAAATGGTGTCCCCGTTGAGTTTGTTAATTCCTATAAATATTTGTGTATCTTGGTCGACTCGTTTCTCTCTTTTAAGCTTCATGTCCAAAACCTAGTAAAGAAACTGAAAGTTAAACTGGGTTTCTTTTTCAGAAACAGATCCTGTCGAACTCTGAACCCTGAGGAACACCTTGTATCTGTGACTTTCCTTCCCTCCATTGATTACGGTGACATTATTTACATGAACGCTCCTACAAGAACCCTGCAATGTTGGATGCTGCAGATGTTGGATGCTGCAGATGTTGGATGCTGCAGATGTTGGATGCTGCAGATGTTGGATGCTGCAGATGTAGGATGCTGTCTATCATGGTGAACTAAGATTCATAACTGGCTGTAACTACCGTACCCACCACTGCACCCAGTATGCACTGGTTAACTGGTCACCATTAACTCCACACAGACTCTCTCACTGGTATATTTTCATCTTTAAATCACTTCTTGGTCTGCTGCCTTCATACATCTCCTCCTACATGTCTCTGTGTGAGTGCAGCTACAGCGTGCGCTCTCAGGACATCATTACCTGCAGTGTTCCCTCAGTGAGGACTGAACTAGACAAAAGGACCTTCTCCTCCTCCGCTCCTGTTTCCTGGAATATCTTGTAAAAAGATCTGAAGCTCTCGACCTTTGACCTCTCTAAGTGGCTTCAAACATCTGTTCCTGGAAAAACCAACGCAGACATGTTCCTGTTTTTAGTATTTTATATTGCTTTATAATGTAGCTGTTTTTGTTTCGTTTTTTTATTAAACTTCATTTCCTTCCATTTATTTTTTCAATTTATATGCCTTCTTTTAAGAATGTCTACTGTTGTCATCACTCTTTGTTAAATCAGGTCTCTCTTGTAAACGAGTCCTCGAGGCTCAATGAGACTCACCTGTAGAAATAAAGGCTGAACTGAGTATGAGGATTGTAAAACAGCTGAACGTACGCTGAAGTCGTTACAGTCCAAACAACGTACAGATGAAGCTAACAGGAGCGGTGCTGACTCAGCATTCAGACAACCACGGCAGGAATTTACGGGATCAGACCGTGGACCTACCAGCACCGATGAGTTGGTCTCTCTGAGGTGCTGCCTGACGGCCTCATCGGTCGGCAGCAGCAGAGTGAAGTCCAGATCCTTCAGATGATCTGACAGGTTGTACATCTGCAACAACGCAGACGTTACGATCACACAGTCGGTCCAAATCATGTAAAGAACACCGGCGTTAAAACTCCCTACCAGAGCGTATCGTCTGAACAGAGAGAAGCTGGAGGACGAGTTCAGGAAGGCCATCAGGGTCGGAGGTTCAGGGGGGAGACCTGACAGGGGGGTCAGAATCTGACCGAACAGATCAAAACTTTACAGGTAATCCAGCAGAGGCGGTAAACAGATTAAACGTTAAAATAATCTAACTTCAGAAATTATTCTAGTAAAATAAAAACCCCTTTAATAAGATTAATACTGACACAACAATGTACCGGTACATAAAATCTATTTTCAATCAGGAAGCTGAATGTTTTAAAATCTGGATGATTTTTTTTTCTGTTATAAAAAAAAACCCCAAAAAACCTCAGAACTGAACGAGAAATGACTTCAACACCTGAGAAGCAAAGTCGTCCTGTACCTGGTTTATGACGTGGATGTACCCGTTGACTGCAGGAAGGTTGTGTACAACGATGGAGGCGTTTCCAATATAAATCATCTAAACAAAAACAAAACAACGTGCGCTCAGTTTGTGCGATCTGTGATGAGTTAATGAGGATTACTGTCAGGACTTTTCAGCAGCAGGCTCTGTGGACGACTCGAGATGAATGATTCGGACATTTTGTGTTGTGACGTGATGAGTAAAGACAAAATGCAGGCTCAGGTACGGGGAACAGAGGAAAACTACAGATTTTAATAACAAAAGGCTGACAGGGCACCAAAACAGTTCCAGGACAGCAGAACCAACAGGAAGCTCACAGAACCGGACATGTGAGCAAACAGACTGAAGGAGAACTGAGAGTATAGACCTGCAGACACAGGTGATTACTGACTCAGTACAGGTGGAGGTGAAGGACAGGTGAGAATGATAACCTGCAGGCAAGGCGGCGGAGGGGAGCTATGACCAAAGTGACAAGATGGAACCAAATAAAACACGATGAACAGAAAAAAACTACAACAAAAAACTACACTTCAAAACTAAAAGACAAAACAGAAATTCAAGGATTGTGACATTTTGAAGTGGTTCAGTGTAAAGCCTAGAGTTAGTATCTTACCTGTTGTAGATATCTTCTTGAATGGCCTCAGTTTACGGCAGAGAAGACCGATGAGCTAACGGCTAGTCTGCGCGAAGCTAAGACCGAAGTGGATAATTATTTTTAAACCTTTAAAATCATTTCATTTATTTTATAAACCTTGAAATGAACGTCGGTTTCAGGTTAGAGTTGTTTTACTTTACAACCATGAACAGCAGCAGATATTTAGAAGATCAGGAGCATCCACGGTTCACTCCGCTTAGGAGTTTTATATTTCAAGTTAACGTGTAAAATAAAACGTAACGAGGTGAAAAGATCTAAATGATGAAGTTGAGACGAGCTTTATGTTTAGAATGATGCAACTTTCAGAGGACCTGCAGACAAGCTGCTGCTCATGGTTCTGAGCTGTTCTGAACCGGGCCCTCGGGTTCTCCAACCAGAACCCATCAGCAGTTCCTGGAACCCGATGTAAGAACGGTTGTTCTTTTGAATCTGTTGTTGAGGAACTGACTTTCTGCTTTTGATGTATTGACATTTTTGATTCCTTTGAAAAAATCATGTTTTTTTTTTACTTTAGGAACTTTTTAGGACACGTTTTCTTTTTTAGTCATTTGTTTTGTTAAACGCTTTGTTTTTTAATTCTGATGCGTTTTGAGCAACACGATACGGACCCAGGTGTAAAGATCGACGTGAGAAGCTCTAATAAAACCTAAAGTTTGTAATAAAAAGGAAACAAAATGTCTGGCATGGCAGCAACAATTTACAGAGCTGAGCAGTTACGACAAGGAGGCATGAAGGAGGACCAGACACGGCACAAAGCACAACAATGATCCACTGATGAAGACCGAGGGAATGGGTCTAACGAGGTGATGGAAGACATTAAACAATGAGACGTTTACATTTCCCAGCCTACAGCGATATGGACATCATTAGTTTCACATCACATGATTACTTCGGCAGAAACAAAGTATTGTTGACAGACGTGACCCTGGATGCTCCATCGTAATGCTGCTTTTTAAAATAACCCCAGAATTCAATCTAACGTTATAGTTAATGTGAAACTGAAGGGAGAAATCTTTAAGATTTGAGTTGTTTTGAGATGGCAGCGATCCACAAGCTGCATTAGTCCAAACTGGGGCCATTTTAAAATCCATCTACAACAGGTAAGATATTACCTATTTATAATTTTAACACAAAACCATGGCGAGCTATGAACGCTGACTGATTGTGATTATTGTCACCGTCCACCTGGTTCTTACCCCGCTGACGTTCCTGATCTCCCACTGCGTGGACGGGTTCAGAGTGGGCAGCCTGCTTCCCACCAGACCGTCCAGGTCCTCCACAGAGTAGACCCCCACCAGGAAGTGAGCCCTGAAACCAGGAGCGCACAAACTTGATCATTATCATTCCACCAACAAAAACTAACACAGTCACAAAATCAATCATTCACACACGAATCAGGAGTTACCACCACCTGCTCGAACAAGAAAATTATCTCAAGCTCTACTTTGAATCAGTTCTGCTGTGTAGAAAACTGAAAACAAAACTATAAAAGAACAATTATAATGCTAACAGGGATAAACAAGTGTCCATTTAACTGATGAGGTGTGAACTACTGACCGCAGGAAGTGAGGCAGGTGGTGGCGACTGGTCCAGAACGAGTTCTCCTTGGCGCTCATGTTCCTCAGAGCTTCTCGAGACGGAGCCAGGACTGTGAGGTTCCCGCTCAGATCCTCAGAGGAGTGACTGAACTTCTGGAAACAAATCAACAAAACAAAATGTAAGAGCGTTACGGCGTGCATCATTGCAGCGAGTTGGAACGTTTTGCACACCTGCAGGTCATTTATCTGTGTGCTACACTAACTTTGTTAACGCTAACGTAAACCTCCAGTTAGAGACGTCCATCTGACAGATAACAGGTCCCCACAAGGGTACAAAGATGTGAGGACCAGAACCAGCAGCAGAGGTCAAAACCTCAGAGGGAAACCTCAGTTTTAACGTTTTTGTCTCAGTTTACAGCAGCCACCTATTACTGCCAACCACTGAAAACAAAAGGGCGATAGTGAAGAGCAGGAACTAATCAAAGAAAAGGGTTACCGGTAGTCAAGAAGAAATATGACAGTTAGAGGACTGAAGAGATGAGACAGGAATATAAGGAGATGGGACGCAGAGCGAAGAGGGAGGTAGCTAAGGCAAAGAAAAAGGCGTATGATGATTGGATGGGAGGATGGACACTAAAGAGTAGGGATACACCCATCCATTTTTTTCACTTCCGATCCGATACCTGCTGTTTAATGTCTGCCGATACCGATCCGATACCGGGAAAAACAGTGCTGAATTAACAAAAATGACTAAATCATGTCATCTGGACCTGTTTCTGAAATTTATTGAAAACTCTGCACCATAACAGCACACTTAACACACCAAGAGCTTCACAAGCTTGGTCCAACGTAAAAACAACACAACTTTAATTTGTTCAGTCAGTACGCTAGCACGTGATGTCACTCAGAGCACCAAGCATAGAATTAGAGTGACTAGATCTGCCCAGTCATGGAACGGTCACATTGTCACGATACCTGATCCAGAAGTTTTTCGATATCAGCATCGATATCAGTATCAGATCGGTGTATCTCTACTAAAGAGGGTGAGAAGGACTTGTACTGATTGGCGAGACAGAGGGATCAGACTGGAAAGGATGTGCAGCAGATTAGGCTGCTCGATAAAAGCAGATTTAATTCGGAAACTCTTGCATATAGGACAGAGGGAGATATGCATTTCTTTAAGGATGCTAAGCCTTAAACTGTAATTATATCATTTTTATAGTTTTTTTTTAAACAATGGTAATTTCAATTCCGTCTCTGGTTTTCTTCTTCTTTTTCGTCTTCAGGGGTCGTCACAGCGAGTCCTCCTCCTCCATCTGTGTCATCTGTCCTCACTCCAACTACCTCCATGTCCTCTCTAACGGCATCCATATATCTCCTCTTTGTCTTTTTCCTGGCAGCTGCATTTCTAACATCCTTCTACCAATATACCCACTGTCCCTCCTCTGGACATGTCCAAACCACTGTCCCTCCTCTGGACGTGGCCAAACCACTGTCCCTCCTCTGGACATGTCCAAACCATCTCAGTCTGACCTCTCTAACTTTATCTCCCAGTCACTCCTAAGGAGAACCTCAACATCTTCATTTCTGCCACTTCCAGTTCTGTCTCCTGTCTTTTTGTCCATGTCTCTGTCTCCAGACCATACAACATAGCTGGTCTCACCACTTTCTTGTAAACTTTTCCTTTAACCTTTGCTGACACCCTTTTGTCACAAATCACTCCTGAAATTTTTTCCATCCACTCCATCCTGCCTGGACTCTCTTCTTCACATCTAAATTTTGTAGAGTACCAGGAGCTTAAAGACTTTGAGGCTATGAGCTGTCCTCTGTTCGCAGGTGAAAGCTAAATTAAAGGCCTTACTCAGTTTAAAGTTAACAGAAAACACTTATGCTTATTTATGCACAACACTAACAGTGGGGCTCTCAAGTCTAATCAGAACATAAATAGCAGGTCGATGCTCTCAACTTGACATCAGACCATCACAGATTCATGACTCACCCACCTGAATCAGCTTGTAGAAACTGTATAGCTTTATGTTCATGTCCAGCTCCTAGAACAGTTATTACAGTGTTAGAATATGCAAATATAGATCAAATGAAGCTTGAAAAAAAGAAAAACAATCAGTAAAAATATCACAATATATATATAAAACATAGTTTTTAACATTTAATCGCAATACGAACAAAATTAATTTTTTGTCGAAGGTCAAAACTACCTGGGGAGAAAACTGGAAGGAAATTTTTTGAAACTCTTATAAAAAACTTTAAATGTATTTTTAAATCAGAATGATGGATGTGGGCAGTGACTGCCATGGATCTGAATATTTACATCCAGTAATGATCCGTAACAGATCTTTCCATCTCCTGCGTAGCCGTCAGGACAGGTACAGGTGTGAACTCCGCCCTCCTTCTGCTCACACTTTGCCTGAAACACAAAAAAATATCAGTCATCTATGCCCAACAGAGGGTGCAATGCATTGTGGGAAAACAAAAATAATCTATTTACACCATCTAACAGACGGTTCATTTGCATCAAAGTTAATCTATTTGTAAAGTATTAGTAGTTGTTTGTTTTCCCAGAATGCAGTGCAACTCCCACTTTGTGTAGATGAAGCAGTTTCTGAATGAGCTGCTGGTGTTTGTGTAGAGGGGGAGACACGGAGAATGTGGGAGGTGAAATAAGACAGCGAGGAGTCTGAAACGCAGATAAGGACAACAAGAATGTCAGGAATGCAGTTTGATGGTGTTTCAGGGAGACGGCTGCAGGAATGTGCTGAGGATTGTGGGATTGCAGGTGTGTGTTTCTGGTGGTCATGTTACATTAGAAACTCGTTTCTGTCTTTGTTGTCTACAAATATATTTACAACGATTTCTGGACTTTTAAAAAACATCTTGCTCTGATGTAATTCAGCTTTCCTTTCTTTTTTCCTTTCCACATAAATCTAAAGGTCTACCTGCCAAGATTTTATCAGCATGTTGCCATACAAACACGTGGAAACAACACACAGGGCTGCGTTTACACGAACGTATGAGATGCATGCAAAGCTGCACCCCGCCCTCATCTAGCACTCTCTGATCATATCTCCATCTTCCTGGCCCCTGCTTACCTCCCCCTGTTGAGACGCTCCAGACCAATATAAAAAGAGTTCAAGTTAAATCTTGGATGAATAGTGAGTGTGCGTACCAAGTCATGGCAGCCCCCGTTGTTTGTGTAGCAGGGATTGATGAGGTCACACACCTTCCCGTTCCCCATATAACCAGTTTTACAGACGCACTCGCTCTGCAGACAGAAACCAGTTCGTAAACGGATCTCATCAGATTGACACTGGGGCAGCTGCAGCAATAAATCAGTAACAGAAGGTGGTAAAAAGTCTGATTACTGGTTGATCTTGTCTGAAGAAAAAAAGAGGATCTGAAGCCCAACAAACAGGAAGACGTCAGAAACATAAAACACATTAAAAGGAAGCCTTTATAGAAATCTAAAAACTAACATTTAGATGTCCTGATGCATGCTCAACTTTTAGACATTAAACATTTAGAAGATTATTAAATGCTTAAAAGCAGAACTAAGTTGCAAAGCCTCATTTACACAAATCCAGATGATCTGACTTGTTTTTCTCAGGTTTGATTATATTTAATTTCTGTGTCCAAATATTTTATTTAAAAAGCAAACGGAATGCCCATCATCAGGAGGTGACATCAAAATACAGACAGAAAGTTCTTAGCTTGGCTAAAGCAACAAGATTTACTAAAACAAAAAGACGAGCCCAGGAGCCACAGAGGATGAGCGCCTCCTAGTGGCTGCTTCTTGTACACATTCAAGCCCCGCCCCTTCTTGTACAACAACGGGACAATACACCACAGATGATCGTTTTCAAGTGGTGATGTTTGTTGAATCTGTCACAGGTTGTGGAGGTTTAGACTCCGGGATGGAGAAGCTCAAGAATAAAGTGTATTAAATCCGTGTTGTCTTCAGCTCCACAGAAGACGATTCACCTACAACAGATGATCGTTGGTCCAAACATTTGGTTCGCGGCTCACCTGTCCGGGTCCGATGTGGTTACAGTTGGCGTCGGGGCTGCAGCCTCCTCGGCCCTCCAGCTGACAGTTGTTGATCTCCACACACACTTTGCCGTCACCTGTCCAGCCCTCGGCGCACACACACGACACGTTACCTGGACCTGCATACACACACTCTGCCTGTGAACAGAAAGGTGTTACTGACGTGTGGCTCCATAAACCTGCCATGCCTCTGGTATTCATCAGGTTTAAATATAGCACTGTACAACTGTGACGCGAACGTTGAGTCTTACGTTGGTGTCGCAGCCTCCTCGGACGTCCTTCAGGCAGAGGTTGATGGGCGTACAGGAGTGACCATCACCTTCATATCCGTCGTTGCACACACACCTGGTTCAGCACACACAGGAGAAACAGATCTCTGTGGTCTGTCTGTGAAATAATAACTGAGCGCTCATTTAAATCATGACGAAGGACGAATGTGTTCGCTCACAAGGTTTCCAGTCCTGTCTGCGTGCAGAACGCGTGCATGTGACAGTGCTCCAGCAGGCCGTCAGCGTTACACGGCGTGGCCTTCTTGTCGCAACATTCTCCGGAGTATCCCTCCAAACACGATCCTCTCCGGCACACCCCGCCGCTGCCGGGACGGTTATCGCACACACCGTGGACGCAGCGGCACTCTGAACACACACATGAGGAGAAGATTCAGTTCAGTCAGCTTGGTACTGAAACAAGAGCAGTTCTTATTTTCCAAACGTTGGAGAAACAAAACAAAGCTTCCACACAGACACGTCTGCAGAGACTCCACAACAGGCAGCAGAGTTTCTGAACAGGGAGATGGAGGGAGTGTCCCAGTCGTTTAAGAATCACTGTTTGACTCTGAGCTGCAATAAAACTGTGTCCGTGTGTTTCACTATCCGGCGTCAAGTCTGTAACTTTTCAATTGTGACTGATCAAAAGGAAATCCAAAAAGTGGATGAGTTTAAATATCTGGGCGTCATTCTAGATTCCCATCTTAACTTCGAGGCTCACATCAGGAAAGTGTTTAAAACCATTAAGACAAACCTAAACTGTTTTCTTCTTATGCGATCATGTTTATGTGTAAAATGTGCTCAGTTGTACCTGCATGTCATGGTTCTGTCTCATTTCTCAAACTGTGTCACTGTCTGGAGCCAAGCTACTCACTCTGCTTTAAAACCTGAGGATGTTGTTTTCACAAGCGCTGAAAGTTTTAGACCAAAAACCACTGAAGTGGCACCGCTGTAAAATACTGGAGAAATATAATTTCTTAAGCTTTGACAATTTTTTAAAATTTTCTTGTTTAAAATTGACTTTTAAATGCATTAACGGTCTTGTCCCGGAGCTGGTGAGCAGAATGATTTTACAAGTCAGCAGCTCAGGAGTTGCAACAAGAGGTGCAGTTGACGGAAACTGCAAACCTGCAAAATACAAAACATCATTTGGTCAATGCTCCTTCTCATTTAAAGATCCTCATCTCTGAAACAGTTCACATCAGCAATAAAAACATGAACAGATCTTAGAGTTTTTAATTCCCAGGTGAAAAAAATGGTTGAAACAAAACCAAATCTGTGAACGCTGAGCCCCATGGGGATGGAGGAGCGGGCATGTGTGAAGAAACTGTTTAATTTTAATCTAATGTAATTTAAATTAAATTTAAATTTTATTTTAGCCGTTTTTATATAAAAGTCCAACCAAGAACCGGGTTTGCAAATTAGCCTGTGGCTAGAAAACCTTTGTACAAAACAACGATTGCTTCGTTTTTAACATGTAACATTGTTTGATGTGCTGTTCTTGTTCAAATAAACTTGAATGAAAAACTACTGAAAAACCCGAAGAAGGTCCTGATTCAAGGACATCAAGGATCAAAGTAATGTTTTAACTAAAATAAACTAATAACGAAAAGATTGCTATGAAACTAAGTTTATTCAATTAAATCCCTCTCATACTAACTCTTATGTGTCAAACTCAAGGCCCGGGGGCCAAATGTGGCCCTCGTTGACGTCTTATCTGGCCCTCAAGATGATATGTGAAATGTAAAATACTTCTCTTTGATTATGATGTTGAAAGCACAACAGAGAACATCAAATGAGACCAATCAAATTCTTTATGAGGAACCTGTGACCAAGAAAAGATGCTGGTATCTGATCTGAGTTAATGGAGATTCTGAAACTGGCCCTTAGTTTGAAAAGGGTTTTCATTTTGGCCCTTTTGTAAAGTGAGTTTGACGCCCCTGTACCAACTCTAAATAACTGCACGGATTGATCGTCTTTAATTCAATGTTTAGATCGGTCTTTACCACCCGGTGTCAAAGGGTGATAATGTTTTTGCCCATCAGTCCCTCCATGTGTGTTCGTTAGTCATGTTAGCAAAATATCCAACCAGAAGGTGGATCTTTATGAAATGTTCAGAGTAATTATTAAACGCATGTCTACAAGTCTGAGCAGCACGATGGATTAGTGGTTAGCACAGTTGCTTCACAGCAAAAAGGTCCTGGAATCAAACCCCGGGTTGGACCCGAGGTCTTCCTGTGTAGAGTTTGTGTGTTCTTCTTGTGGGTGTCCTCTGGGTACTCCGGTTTCCCCCCACAGTCTAAAAACCTGCATGTTAGACTGCCTTCAGGCTCAGGAGGACCTTAACCTTGGAGGACCTGGGATTTGTCCGATTTAATAAAGGTTATTAAACCATAATAAGTATTTAATTTCTATTTATTTCAAGATGGCTGCCACAGTCAACTGACCTTAAAACCACTCAGTGGTTGTCACTCAGCCAGATATACAAGTATTGTGCAGGAGTTTGGTGTGGTAGTAGCTGAGAGTCATTCACAACACATACTCTGAGACAGTGGGGAGCACAGTTCCAATAATCCACTAACAGCTAATAGTGAAACTAATTGTTTAGCGGGTTAGCGTTTTCATTAACTTGGGAAACCGCTAGTGGAAGTAGCTTCCACTAAATGAGGTTTCACCAACTTTAAGACCAGTAACAAACTTCACAAGCTTGTTCCTGTCTGTTGTGGGTGTGTCTCGAAGAGTCCACTAGGCACGCTATTGGCTGACTACGTGAACACGTGATGTGATTGGTCAACGCAGCTTCGACAGGAAGGAGATGAAGATGTGTGATGCAGACTGAGGAACAGTCATCTTAGCAGTTATTAGCTTTCACTAATTCTTTCTCTTTAGCGGTTTAGCGTTAGCAAAGCTAGCATTTTGGTTAGCAGTCCCTGCACAGCTTTGAGAGCTAACAGATCTTGTCATGAGGTTGAATCTTAGTGTATTTCTTAGTTCATATCTTAGATCTTATTACTGTTTTTCTTTACAATTTATACTGTTGTTGGATGTAACCGGGACCCTGTACATAATTTCATTCCACCACATGTACCACATGTGGTGCGAATGACAAATAAAGTAACTTTGACTTGATTTCTTCACGTAACACGATCTTGGTTTATAACTCCGGTATGAAAAGTGGCGGGCGATTCGAGTCGTTAGTTTATGATAAAACTTGAAGAGGAGTCGTTAACCTTTGTCACAGCTGTCTCCGTGTTTGCTTGGATCAGAACAGATGTGGCAGGCGATTCCCTTGAAGCCTGAGTGACAGCTACACGAGCCGTTCCCATGGATACCATCCAAACACTGCATACAGGGGGGAGAAACACATTTAAAATATGTATGAGAAGAAAGCTCAGGATCCGAGTGAGGAGGGCCGTAAACGTTTCGTACCGTTCCTTTGTCGTAGCAGGGATGCTGGAATCCTCCGATACACGGTTTACAGTCCGGACCGTAGAACCCTTTACAACACTGTGGCACCTGTTCAACAAAACACACAAAACAAAGCAATTTATTTCACCTCTGGTGCTAAACGTTTCCTCTTCTGTCAGATAAGTGAGTTCTGGCCTTCAAAAGTCTCATTCACCAATAAAATGATCACGACTCTGTCACAGTTTTAAATTTACTCTACATGTGAAGGAGCTCTCAGTGAACCTTAACCTCACGTGAACCGTAGACAGCTGTGACAAGGTTACATGTTTACACTGTAAAGCTGCGCGTTAGGCGTCGAACGTTCATTTGAAAATAAAATTATGATTTTCTGGTAATGTTTTTTTTTTTCTGATGATTTTCCACATGAAGAATAACCTATTGATTTTAGCTCATTTCCACAAAATTAACATTTTATAATCCAGTAATGTTAATGTAAGCATATGCTGTTGTGCCGAAAACGCCTACCATCACCAGCCTGAATGATTACCGACCAGTGGCTCTCACCCCGGTAATCATGAAGTGCTTCGAGAGACTGGTTCTCCAGAACATCATGGGCTATCTCCCTCCGAACTTTGACCCCTACCAGTTTGCATATCGCACCAACAGGTCCACAGAGGATGCTATTGCAGTAGCTCTCCACACCGCGCTGAGCCACCTGGAACAACAGCACAGCTACGTTCGAATGCTCTTTGTGGATTACAGCTCGGCCTTTAACACAATCATTCCGGACATTCTTATAAACACATTGGACAATCTCGGCCTCCCCCCACTCACATGTGCCTGGATAAAAGACTTCCTAACCAATCGGCCCCAATCTGTAAGACTTGGTCCCCACCTCTCCTCCACTCGTACGCTGAGCACTGGCTCCCCACAGGGCTGTGTGCTGAGCCCCCTGCTGTACTGTCTCTACACCCATGACTGCAGCCCGGCCCACAACAACAACCTCATCGTCAAGTTCGCTGATGACACCACAGTGGTCGGACGAATCTCTAAGGGAGATGAGACATTTTACAGACAGGAGGTCCTGGAGCTAGCAACCTGGTGCTCAGAGAAAAATCTGGCTCTGAATATCAAAAGAACCAAGGAGGTGATTATTGATTTCAGGAAGCACAGCACCAACCTAGCCCCACTTTACATCAATGGTGAGTGCGTGGAGAGGGTTCACACTTTCAGATTTCTTGGTGTCCATATCTCTGCTGACCTAAACTGGAAAGAGAACACCACAGCGGTCATCAAGAAGGCTCAGCAGAGACTACACTTCTTAAGAGTCCTTAAGAAGCACAACTTGAACACAAAACTGCTGCTGACCTTCTACCACTCGTCCATCGAGAGCCTGCTGACATACTGCATCTCAGTATGGTCCGGCAGCTGCACCCTGGCTGACAGGGAGAGGCTTCAGAGAGTAGTCAAGACAGCACAAAAGATAATTGGCTGCCCTCTCCCCTCCCTGATGGACATTTACACATCACGCTGCCTCAACAGAGCAGAAAACATAATCATGGACTGTTCACACCCGGGTTTTGAACTGTTTGACTTGTTACCTTCAGGGAAACGCTACAGGAGCATCAGAACAAGAACAAACAGGTTCAAGAACAGTTTTTTCCTGAAAGCCATCACCACACTGAACTCACACATGCACTGATTTAATAATCTAACCTCCCAAACCCCTGGACTTCTACTGTGCAATACTACTGACATTCCATACTCTCAGTTACCTTAACTACCTCACGAATATCCATAATGTGCAATACAATTGTGTAATACTTGTATTTTTTTACTTTCATTATATCTATATTGCGTTACATTTTTTATATTTTTAGTGTGTGTTTAATGTGTGTTTTCTTAAGGCGTGTTTTTGCACTGGAAAAAGGAGTGGCTCTTAATTTCATTGTACTGCGTATAATGACAATAAAGGCATTCTGATTCTCTGATTCTGATGCTATTATTATTATCATTATTATTAGAGCTTTATTTATACAGGTCGGTTCCCACTGAGCCTCGAAGACTCATTTACCAGCGAGACCTGCATACAAGATACAGGCAGAGGAGAAAAAGAGAACAAAAGGATGGAGGAAGCCAAAAAAAATCATGTCTCACACCTTTTCCTGGCTGAGAAACAGTTTGAAAGATGAAAAAAAGACCTCATGAAGCTGCAACATACAATGACAACATAATACATTTATGCAAAGAGGTCGACAAAGCTGGTGAGTTATTCATAAACACTCCAGAAAGTTCCAAAGTTCTGATAAGATGGTACAGTGTCTATCAGCGTCACAATTATAAGGCCACAGATGGCCTTGGGAGGGGGCAGAGCTTCTAGTTACGTATCCTCCAGGAGCAATTTGAGATAAGTTGGTCTGTCCAAGACCAGCGGGGAGGCCAAATCCAGAAAAACAACAATTGTTTGGGCCGACCAGACTCTGTTTTCGGTCTGCCTTCAAGTTCTGCTGGTTCACTCAATGGTGAATCCAAACAGCCGGATTAGTGGACATTCCACCCGGTCCGTGCTCGATTTAGCTTTCTCCAAGATTGAATCCTTCATGCTAGCGAGTTCCAGGAGTCGCAAGTGGCCTACGAGTCTCAGAATTGCCGATTCCAACAAGCAGAAACCCTGTTATCATAAATCCAATAATGTACACATCTTCTACGTCCTCCATGGACAGCACAGATAGGCACATCATCTTCCATTCCCCCCAGGAATCAATGCTGCGTGACCCAGCTGCGTGGGTCTGTTCAGGTCATGAGGGCTCTCCAGCACCCTGTCGTCTGGTGAAAACATTTTATCAATTGCATCGAGGGACCAGCCGACCAAATCCGTAATAATTTTCACTTCAGAATATGTGTAAAGAGAGGCTCTGAGGCTGACAGCACGAGAGACCAAAAAAAGCAGGAGGGAGGGTAAGCGGGACCGTCTTCGTCGAAGGGAAGAGAGAGAATGTGTGTATGCATCTTTTCCCAATAATCCACTACTTCTGGTAAAGCTCAGATGTCCCAGCTTTTCACCAGCCTTGAACGCAGCATCACCTTTGTGAATCTGGAGCGGTAAGAAAGTCATATTGACAGGCAGCTGATGTGCGTAGTTTTGAGACTAATTTATCTTCAAATAAGGCTTTTTAGGAAAGTGCCTCAAAGTTTTTCTTGACTTGAATACTTTCAATCTGAGCTCTTTAAAAAAATAAATATTTTCTCAAGCAAAAGCTTTCTGCAGCCAAACAAAACATCAGTTTAACGCTGAAAAGTGTTGCACTGAAAAAACAGTCCAACGCAGTTTTTCAGTGAGGGGGAACAGAAGAACAGCCGGTAAAACATGGAGTTTTTGGAGCAAGCGTGTATCTGCTGCAGGATCGGATTAATCAAGAATCGCAGTAGTTTTTACTCTCACCTGTCTGGTTGAGTTGCAGTATTTGGCGCAGCCTTTACCGAATGTTTGCGAGCTAAAAGTTCGGACATACTCGCAGCCGATCTGATGGCTGTCCTGGGAAAAAACACAAACACACAGGATTCTAAACAGTAATATGAATAATGCTGTAAATATGGGACATTTTCCTACAAAATGATTTCTTACAACAAGCTTTACTTGTTTTAGGCTCATTGTTTTGTACATATTTTTGTAACATTACTACTTGAGCAGACTTTGTGTTGTTTTAGATGTTTATAAATCAAATTGTTCATCTCGTTCAGGAGATGAGTGCTGCGATTGTTGTAACTCCATCTTCTACCTCTTCTCTGTGGCTGGGTCATTCAGGCATCACGGCCAGGACAGAAACCCAGACCTCCTTCTCCCCAGTGACACCAGCTCCTCCTGTTGGATCCTGAGGAGTAGAGCTGCAATTTCTAACCCGGGCCCGACCCAAAATTCGGTCTCAGGCTTTTGAGACGGTTTAATGAATCATACAGCGCAAAGAAAACTAAATAAGAATGCACGATATAAAGTTGTGTTAATATACTTGTTGAGGAGGCAAGTCCAACTGGCCGGTTGAAAAAGGTAAAAAAAAAAAAAGTCCTGTTAAGCTCAGATGGATCACCGGATCACAGGCGGTGCGCTTCTCCGCACCCTGCTGTCATCTGCGGTGAAGGAAGTTTCTGAAGCTACAAAAGCTGAAGCGAGCAGTGCATTCAACTAAAATAACCCGGTTCTATATTTTTCCAAATAATTTTGCTCTAAAAATATTTTAAAATAAAAAGCTTTTTTTTTTTTTCCGGGTTCAGGCCTGTAATTACAGTTAAATGATCAGGTCGGGTCAGATTAGGAAAAAATGGCTAAAATGGGTCCGGGTCGGAGTTTTTAGACCCGAATGCAACTCTACCGAGGAGTTCCCAGACCAGAGAGGATATAATCCCTGTAGAGTTCTGGGTCTGCCCGGGGTCTCTTCCCAGTGGGTCATTCCCAGAAAACCTCCAAATGGCGTCCAGAAGGCATCCTAATCAGATTAACCTCCTTTTCATGCAGAGGAGCAGCGACTCTACTCCCAGTTCCCCCCAGATGATGATTGGTTTTTGTGATCGTTATATTTTAATACAGATGACTTGTGGTGTACTCACTTTATTTTTGTCATCTTCTGCAACTTCTGGCTTTTAGCTAATGTTCTGTTTCTTTGAGCTTTAACACAGTTTCAGCTTCTTTAGTGAAATCTTTTAGCATTCACGCTGTATTTGTATAGAAAATGCTGACTTTCCACAGTTTGCCTGCCCGGGGCCCACAGAGCAGAAACATCTCGTGATGATGATAATTTACCATTTCGACGCTGCCTTCAGGACACCGAGTCTCATGGAGGAAACTGCAGTAAACACACGGACCCTAAAAACAAACAAACACGCGTTACTGTTAATTTTATTCTGACATAACCGTAATGATCGGCCGTGGCACCTTTCAGAATAAAACAACTAAATTATGCGACACAAAGAGCAAATATATTAAGAGTAAATAAAGTATGACCTTTAAATATTAATTTGTAATGAATGAGCTTTCTGAGTCTTAGAGCTGCCACTTTTATTTACAAACTGTTTGGCAACAAGTATAAATTAATAAATAGATAAAAGGTCAAGCATTCATTGCAGGAATGCCTATCGCCCGCCAGCTTTCATGGCAGGCTTTTAAACATAGATCATCATTTTATGTTGAGAAATAATGAGCCGTTTCAGTCGACGCTTGTAAACATTATGCACAGTCTCAGAGTATGTGCTGGCGATGACTATCAGCTACTACCACATCGGATTTTAGCTCAAAATCTAAAAAATTAACTTCATTATAGTAATTTCTATGTTTTCCAAGGTAAGTTGTGAGCTGTGACAGCCATCTTGAATTAGATTCACTTCAAAGGTCCATCAGTTGTGGAAAATATTTTCTGATCATTTCATTTAAATCCATCCAATGATTCATGAGATATTTTGCTGACAGATGGACACACGGGCAAACTGAAGCGCCGTGAAACAAAATAAAAATAGAAAACCTATTCTTGTAGAAAATAAAGTCAAAGTTCAGCTCTTTTTGTGTTTTTTCCTGTTCTTCTTCTCACCACAGTGATTTTACTGTCAGTGACGTCACAGCGGTGAGGCAGGATGGGCAGGATGGAGGGCGGGTACAGCAGCCCGTCGATCATGTGGATGATCCCGTTGGACGCCACGATGTTGGTGCTCGCCAGACGTACACCCTTCTCACCCAACCGGATCTCGCCCTGCAGAGCGAAGAGGGAACCAAAGCGTTTGGCAAACGGTAATGAACGTTTTAAAGGACGATGAGAGGCGCTCACATCATCAGATGAAGTGATGGAGACCCGCTGATTGGCCATCGTCCGAAAGTGAGAGAGAGCGGCCAACTCGTCGACGGTCAGCTGAAAGCAGAAAAGCTCATTAAAATTTATCAGTCTGTCAAATATTTACAACATTACTTATCTACGGTGCATCATCAAAGGCAATCACTGAGTCATGTCAAACATTGAGACAAGATATTTTGATACAAAATAAGAAGCTGGAACAATTCAAGTTGAAGCCATTTTTATTCCCTTTTATAAATCCCTTCTTTTAGCTCATGAGTACAGAGGTACAAGACTGGTTTCTAAAAGGTACAAAATACAGCAAACAAAAAAATACCCACTGTTTAGGGTACAAAACAGTACTACTGAGGGTACCACCCCAATGACAACAATTGGGTACTTTTTTCTGCAGCTGAAGGACACCAAACACTCTGGGTTCTCATGTACAAAGGTGCATACGCACAAAAACGTGACGTACGCCCTTTTTCACACAAAACTTCAGGTGTATCAAGAACGAAACGTGCACAGCCCCGTGCCAACTCTGTGGCTGTCGTACGCATGTTTCTATGGTTACTGGTCCGTTGGCGACACTTGGAGGTGATGCTGGGAAACTTAATGATGTGGAAGCTATGACTGTACACACGGACACACATGATGAACAATGAATACGTCCACATGTATGAAATTAGATGAGTGGATATAAAATGTGCACAAAGTGGAGCAGAAAATACTTTAACAACAGCGGCTTCAGTCGTATTAGAGGATTTAACAAATGGAGCGATACTCAGAGAGTCTGTATTTAGAGACGGACAGGATCTTCTGGACCACGATGACGACAGGATCATCAGATGTTTTAGTCTTCCAAGGACAATCCTGGAACTGTGCTCGGAGCTGCAGCTGGTCTTGGTGCGTGACACAACGAGGAGCCGTGCACTCCCCGTGCACATACAGCTGCTGACCATACTGGGGTTCCTATAGCAACAGGGTCATTCCAGAGTGAGCTGGCAGACTGATCAGGACTGGGCCAGTCCACCCTGAGCCGAACCATGCCAGCTGTGTGGATGGAATGATCCGTACGTCAACCAGGAATATCAAATTACCCACAATGCAGCTGAACAGATCAACATTAAAGCACAGTTTGAAGCAACCGCCAGTTTTCCTGATGTAATCGGAGCTATGGACTGCACACACGTTGATATAAAAGCACCATCACATGATGAAGACGTTTATGTTAACAGGAAGCATTTTCAATAAATCTGTGTAAATTATATGTGTTGCTCTAAAGAAACTAACCAACATGATGTTGAGGTGACCGGTTCAACCACGATTCATTCACTCTAATGAACTGCATGGTTGGGAACGGACTACAAGCTGGCACGGTGCAGGATTGAGGGGCTTCTTGGTGACTGAATTAATTTAATCATCCTAATATTAATCCTGATGCGCATGGAGCCTGTGCACCCCCACATCATCCTGTCTTCACCGTATCTTTACTGGTCAGTGGTTCAAGTGAGTGACTTCCTGTTTGTTGCTGGTTAAACTACAGTTTCAGAGCGTTCTAGCCCCGATCGTCTCTGTGTGTTTAGAAGTAAAGTCATTGGACACATGTCTAAAGTATGAAAAGCCTCAGCCTCAGCAGAAGCGTCTCCAACTCACATTCTGTGAAGTTCCTTTTTCCTGCGTGTAAACGTGCTTTTCGATGTGTGCGTGCGGTGCAGGGCAGATTTAAATCCGTTTGCATGTTTAAATGGAGGCGTGTCGAGGGAGGAGTCTGGTATTCCCTCATGTGCGCTCAATTTCCCGTTGATCGGGACGTACACAGGAAGTGTGCTCGGATTCATGCGTACGCACGTTTTCATACATCTGGATTTATTTGTGCATACGCTGCTTTCTCGATTTAAGCGTACGCCATGTTTCAGTAGGAAATCCATAGAAGTCTTTGAAGTCGTCTTCAAAGTCTTTGAAGACGACTTCAAAGACGAGGCAAAAGACTGCTACAAAGCCCCTGGTGAACAATGTAAAAACCTAAAATAACAGCAGCATTGTAGCAGCTTAAATACAAGGAATGAGCTTGAGCTTAGACCAAAAAAAACTTTCCACAAGACGTACACTAAAAATCACTTTTTTAAAAATTACAAATCAGTTTCTTTAACACATCGTATCTTTCTGCATGTGGCTGATTAAAATAAAAATAAAACGAGAAAACAGGATTAAATGTGGGTCTTACCACAGCCTGGGAGAAAACGTGATGTCGGAGCAGCTCCTGAAGTTTATGTTTGGCCTAAAATAAAAACAAAACAGTTAAAAAAAGCCAAATCTTTCAAAAATTATTTTATTTTAAATAAATATGGCTCAAAGCTAAAAAAGCTGAGGTAAAGAATAAATAACATGGATGGATTACAGATTAGGATATTCACTGAGCATCGTTTATAAAACAGAAGAATGAATGAATGAATTTATTAACCTTTATTTAATCAGGTAAGTCTTTTTGAAAGGGAGGCCTGAAGGCAGGCTAACAGGCGCGTTGCTGAACTGTGCGAGGAAACAGGCATATCTGGAGAAAACCCACAAACACGTGGAGAACATAGAAACTCCACAAAAAGAGCCCCGGTCCAACCCGGGGATTGAAACCCAGGACCATCTTGCTGTGAGGCAACAGTGCTAACCACTAATCCATCGTGCTGCCCAAATCTGAAGTAATAAGATTCAGGCCAACATGTTTTTAATCCCTAATTTAATCTTCAGAGGTACAAATCAAATGGCCCTTATACATTGTGAGGCCCGGTCTGGACTGGCCCGACCCGCTCTGGGTTTTGAAAGATGGCATTGGGCAGCCTGTTCCAGTTCAGGTGAATGTGATAGAGAGAGCTCCTTCAGAAGAAATGGCAACGCAAATAAGAGCATCAGTGGCCTGGACAAACGACGAGGTGCCGTTATTGCTGAGCTGACCGTCGCACAGCCTTGCTGTGATGACCCCCCCCCCCCCACACACACACACACATACACACACACACATACACACACACACACACACACACCACCTCGAAGCAGCACTCTGCAAAAAAACAGAGATGTGGAAGACTGTGGCCAGGCCACAAAGCTTATCAATAAAAAGATCAAACAAACAAACAAACAACAACACCAACCAACCAACCAACCATCCATCCATCCATCCATCTTCTTCTGCTTATTCCCAAGTCAGGTCTCGGGGGCAGCAGCTTGAGCAGGAAGGCCCAGACATCTCTGTCCACAGCCTCTTCCAGCTCTTCTGGGAGGACTCCAAGGTGTTCCCAGGACAACTGAGAAACGTAGTCTCTCAGTTGTCCTGGGTCTTCCCCGGGGTCTCCTCCCAGTCGGACATGTCCGAAGCACCTCCCTAGGGAGGCGTTCAGGGAGCATCCTTACCAGATGCCCGAACCACCTCAACTGGCTCCTCTCGATGTCGTTCATCTTGAACTAGTAAAATTAAAAACAAAATCTATATTTTCAGTTCTTGTTGCCTCACCGCTTCATTGTAAACAAACGTGAAGGCTGCAGACAGCTTCACGGCCACATGTCTTCTTCAATAAAAGCACAGTTGGAAAATAAAGCCTCATGGTTTCCTCACATCGTTCAGCATGTACAGGATGCTGCCGTCTCGGGCTCGGTCCACAGCCTCGTTAGTGGGAACAAACACAGTGAGGGGTCCTGGTCCACGAAGAGGAGGAGGAGACCCACAGTTCTAGAGAAACAAACACACTTCATTAAAGGGAACGTTCAGAGACATCTCTCTCTTTACAACCAGTTCAACCTGTAGAACAAACATTCAGCCTTTCACTTAGACCGAACAGCAGTTTCACATTCGTCAAATAAAAACAACTCGGATGTAAATCAGGACAGACGCTCACTTGTTTCAAACAAGCAGCACGCTGATGTCCCTGTGGGATCTGATTAGTGAATGTTTGTAGTTTTGGAGTTGAGTGTTTTTCTGCACTGGAATTGAACAGAGGATTCAAGGATTCAAGGTTCTTTATTTGTTGTTCCACCACATATGGTACATGTGGTGGAATGAAATTATGTACACAGGGTCCCGGTAACATCCAACAAAAGTATTAAAATGTACACAGAAAAACAGTAATAAGAGCTAAGATACGAACTAAGAAAAATGTCAATTAAAAATACAATAAGCACTAGTAGTACAAAAACAATAAAAACAATACGCTGAACAGCAGCACGAACATGAGTCAGTGTGAGCAGATGAGGACGGATGAACAGCAACATGAAACAGATCAGCAGCAACATGAAACAGATCAGCAGCAACATGAAACAGATCAGCAGCAACATGAAATAATCAGCAGCAACATGAAACAGATCAGCAGCAACATGAAATAATCAGCAGCAACATGAAACAGATCAGCAGCAACATGATGTGATTATTCTGGTTAGAGATTCATGAGTCCAACAGCCTCAGGGTAGAAGCTGTTCCTCAGTCTAGTGGTTCTACACTTAATGCTCCTCAACCTCCTTCCTGAGGGGAGCGGGGCAAAAAGTGTGTGTGCTGGGTGGGTGGGGTCCTTCATGATGCAGGTGGCCCTCTTCCTGCATCTGGAGGTGTAGATGTCTGTGATGGTGGGGAGACTGACTCCAACATCTTCTGTGCAGCCTTCACCACTCTCTGCAAAGCTTTTCTTTCTGCAGCTGTGCAGCCTCCATGCCACACGTTGATGCTCGAGCACAGGATGCTCTCCATTGCACACCTGGAGAAGGAGGTAAGAACTGAGCTCCCCAGACCAGCTCGTCTCAACCTGAGGAAGTAGAGTCTCTGATGAGCTTTCTTCATCAGGCTGGTGGTGTTGTTGCTCCAGCTGAGGTTGTTGTTCAGGTGTACACCCAAGTACTTGTAGCTGGAGACCACTTCCACTGCAGATCCTCCTATGCTCAGGAAGGGATAGGTGTGTTTGTTCCTTCTGAAGTCCACGACCATCTCCTTCGTCTTCTGAATGAAGAATGAAGTAAACCTAAATGTTTTTGGTGCAAGATGTTCAAGTGGGGAAGAGTTACACTGTGGAGCAGAGGGAGGTTTGTTTTTATCATCTGAGGCAGAGCAGAGTGACGGATCCTGGCGAGTGGAAGGATACATTTATCCACCAGCAGGTGCAGTGGTGGAGCCAGGGGGTGGCCAATGGTGGCTTTGGTCCCCACAGATTAATCTTCAGCCACCCCAATCATTTGAGGAAAGTATATTGTTAAGCAATATAAAAATAGAAAGTATAGTTTCCTCAAATGATAGCGGTGGCCTGTTTGAATATATATGGTGGTGGCCATCTTGGATTTTGACTTAGCAACCCAGTTATCAAAATATACCTTTCTTACGCCAAAATGGAAATCAGTGTCTCCCTTAGTTTTCAAGTTATCATGCTCACATCATGCACAGATGCAAGGACGGACAGAGGCAATAAGTCATTTAGAAGAAAATAGGCCCACAAGCAGCTGAACTATGGAACTACACAGTTTCATCACAGGTGATTAGACATTTGATCAAATACAGACGGTTTGTCCCAGCTCTTGATCCACAAAGAAAATGGTGAAAGAATTTTAAAAAATGGGCATCTGAAGTCACAACTAACTAAAGATTCTGAAAAAATAAAACTACCAATGCACATTTTTTTGGCCCTCTGGATTTGTAAATGAGTTCTTTTGAACGAACACCTGTTAAGTTTCTTATATTTAAAAAACGAATTCTGCAAACTCACGTCAACCAAAGACAAGAAGCGGTTGAACTTCACATCTTGGGTCAGAATCTCCCCAATCGTCTTGTCTGCAAACTTGACAAAGAGACAGAAGTTCAACAATCATTTTTTATTTTAATGTCAGAAGCTGCTGACAGAGTTGTGTGAGCGATCTGCAGCTCACCTGCTCATCTTTGGGCGACCTGTCAGACAGCATGTTTGTGATTGGCCGGTCGATGATGTGGATGATCCCGTTGGCTGCCGGCAGGTCCGACTGGATGACTGTATAAACTCGGCTGGGGTTACTCATCAGGATGAACTTCTGCACAAACACACAACAGATGGGTGTTTTTGAGGATTTCTTCTCTTTTCAGAGCTCGTCTGTGTCCAAATGAACAAGTTTTGTGTCGTTTTGTTGTTTTTCTTTCATTAAATGTTGACAAATATTTTGTCTTTGATACCTTTCACATAAAGCATAATGTAACCTGGATTTTAAGATTTTTCTATCTGGCATTTTATGCATGACAAACAAATGTTTCTCAATTATTATTACTTCTTGATGTCAAAATATCACGGTACATTTACTTGTGTACCATGTGTACTATCCTGTGTACTATTTCAACTGAGGATTTTAGCTCCTGCAGCTCTTAAAGGTACAAACTCAGAAACGTCCATGCATTCAGTTAGCATAAACATAAAGAAACTGTCAATGTTTAAAATTATTTTAGGTTTTTTTTACATTTTTGGTCAGAAATGTCTATCCACTCATCATAGACATAAATGTCAGATTGTTTTATATCTTTTATTCTTTAAATGAGCGGTTCAATTTCCCAGGGTGAAAGTATTATTTAATAATTTTAAAAACAAAAATTGGCTGCACACATTTGAATTTGTTAAGTGTGATCTCTTTTTATCAGTAAATCCAATTAACATCACTTCAAAACTTTTCTGTTCTACTATATTAATTTGGACTGTTCAAACAAGTTGAACCAAACCACTGGATCCCTTCTTTGTTCCTTAAAGACATTTTGCTTCTCAATCTCAAGGTTCTCAATACACAAACCGGTCGAGTGGCTTGATGGCACACATCTGACAACGTCAGGTGAGATAAAAACCTGCACAGAGGGGCAGAATATTTGTGCAAAGCTCCGCCCACAAGCTGACTCACAAACAGGAACTCCTTGTTACTGACGAGACAAACTCTAAAAAAGTCACAGGATTCTCTTTTGATAAACTGAACCTCAGAAGAAACTCTGGAACTCTGTGTATATATATATATATATATATATATATATATATACACACATACACACACAGTATATATATGTGTGTCAGGACAACAGGTCCCTGGTTCAAACCCCGGTCCAGGGGCCTTTCTGGGTGGAGTTTGCATGTTCTCTCCGTGCATGCGTGGGTTTTCTCTGGGTACTCCAGTTTCTCCCACAGACCAAAAACATGCATGTTAGGCTGATTGGTAACTCTAAATTGTCCCTAGGTGTGAATGAGAGAGTGAATGGTTGTTTGTCTCGTTTGTCTCTACGTGTCCCTGTGATGGACTGGAGACCTGTCCAGGGTGTCCCCCGCCCCTCGCACAGTGATTGCTGGACATGGGCACCAGCGACCCCCGTGACCCAAAATGGAATAAGCGGGTAAAGATAATGGATGGATGGATGGATGGATGGATTTTTTAAAGTGGTACTCGAGGTTTTCACACCATCAGAATCTCACACAGGCCCACTCCTGAACCATGAGACAGTTTGTGTGATAAAACTTGTTTTTATGACGGTTAGTTACGTTAAGGACTTGTCCTGAGCACAGAAACGAGATAAAACCTTGTGTGAAAACATGCGCAGAGTGGAGGGATGTTGGCACTAAACTCCGCCCACAGGCTGACTCACAAACAGGAAGCTGCTGATCATTTTATTATTCTGACGAGACAAACGCAAAGAAAATCACAGGATTTCAACTTTGATCCACAGAAACCCAGAGGAAGCACAGGAAACTAAGATTACTGGGATTACTGGACTTTCTGCTTCAGACTCCGTTTGATAATCTGAAGGAGCTACAACTCAAAAGTGAAAGTAACTTTCCGAGAACTCTCCAGACTGACTTCCCTGACAGGTTTCTGTGTGTTCAGTTTCATTCAGAGACAAAATGTCGTCCAGATCACACGATCTGTCGTGTCCCATCTGCCATGAGATCTTTACAGACCCTGTGGTCCTGTCCTGCAGCCACAGCTTCTGCAGAGCCTGTCTGCAGGACTGGTGGAGGGTGAAGACAACGCTGGAGTGTCCGTTCTGCAAGAGGAAGTCGTCAAAGAGGGACCCTCCTCGTAACTTGGCTTTAAAGAACCTGTGTGAGGCCTTTTTACAGGAGGAGAAGGAGCAGAAGGCTTCAGCAGCAGGGTCTGAACATCTCTGCAGGCTGCACTCTGAAAAGCTCAAAATCTTCTGCCTGGACCACCAGGAGCCGGTGTGCCTTGTCTGTAGAGATTCAAAAACGCACGTCAACCATCGGTTCCGACCCATTGACGAGGCGGCGCAGGACCACAGAGAGGAGCTGCAGAAATCCCTCAAGCCTTTACAGGAGAAACTGACGCTCCTCCAACAGTTCAAAGGAAACTGTGACCAAACTGTGAAGGTCATCGGGGTCCAGGCCCAGGAGACGGAGCAGCAGATCAGGGAGCAGATTCAGAAGCTTCACCTGTTTCTGCAGCAGGAAGAGAAGGTCCGGGTCGCTGCTCTGAGAAACGAAGAGGAGCAGAAGACTCAGATGATGAGGAAGAAGATGGCGGCTCTGAGCACAGACATCGCAGCTCTTTCAGTCACAATCAGAGCTGCAGAGAAGGAGCTGAGAGCCGAAGACATCTCGTTCCTGCAAAACTACAAGACTGCAGTGAGAAGAGTCCAACAGCACCACATCCAGGACGACCCAGAACCAATCTCTGGAGCCCTCATAGATGTGGTCAAACACCTGGGGAACCTGACCTACAACATCTGGAAGAAGATGAAGCAGATCGTGTCCTACAGTCCTCTGCTTCTGGACCCAAACACCGCCGACCCAGAACTCATAGTGTCAGACGATCTGAGCGGCGTCAGATCTGGAGAGAAGCGGCGGCAGCTTCCGAGCAACCCGGAGAGAACCAAGTTCTCCTGCTCCGTCCTGGGCTCTGAGGGGTTCAGCTCAGGCGCTCACAGCTGGAGCGTGGATGTTGGGAAGAACCAGGACTGGGAGCTGGGCGTGCTGGGTCAGGACCTCCAGATGAACGGACGCCTGCAGTCCCAGCTGTGGAGGATTCTGTTCTCTGAAGGAACATTCACGGCGTTTTCTGCCTCCGAGCACGAGAAAGTTCTGCCCGTGAAGAAGATGGCGAAGAAGATCCGAGTCCTCCTGGACTTTGACCGGGGGAAGTTGTCCTTCTCTGATTACGACACCGACACAAACATACACACCTTCACACACAACTTCACCAACACCCTGTTTCCTTACATTTACACCGAGAATCCTCTGCCGCTGAAGATTTTGCCCGTCAAAGTCACCGTGACGGTCGAAAAACACATTTAGGAAGGTTGTGATCATCAATACGTCCGCGGAAATTGTTTTACAGTTTATGATGCCAGCTTGATGCTAATGCTGGACCTGAAGGATTACTGGGATTAAATTTAAATTTGTTTAAGATTTTTCTGTTAAACGAAAGGCTAATAAGAAACAGCAAGAGGTTTGGGGTTGAAGCGTTTGTTTGTAACTAACTCTGGAAAATCCAAATACTAAGTAGAGAAATATCTTACACTGGAAATCCAAAATAACTGCATCTATTTACACAATGTTCTCTATGAAAGACTGAGTGGATGAGAAGATTCATTTTGTTGAATTTGTCTCCAAAATGTTTGATTTGTGTTTCAGCTAACATCTCGACTTCTGGTTTGCACAATAAGTAGCTAGTTAGTTGTTTTTATTAGAGAATATCAGTTTGATGCCTTGTTTCCTTGTTGCAGTAACAAACAGGTTTGTTCTGTTGTTCTGTGAGATGTAAGAATGTAACTCGCACTGGAACGATGTGGTGCGTCACATCAAACCAGAGATTAACTCGTGAGTAGAGCAGTGAGATATAGTCAGATGAAAAAATAAAATCCGGCTTTTGTCCAAATATGACAAATGATCAACGTGTCTGTTTAATGAAATGTCTTAAATACAACCATAAAGAACGTTTTCAAGCACTTTGCTGAGCAGAACCAGCAACTAACCATGATTTTAAGCAGAAAAGTCTTAAATTTGAGTTATTTTCTCTGCGCTCGAACGAAGCTATTTTTAATACTCGCTGGAAAATCCCAATATCCAAATATGGTTTACGGTTTCTTCTTTTAAATGGCAAGAGATCCTAAAAACAGGATTCACACTCATTTTCCAGGCGTTACCCCGATTAAAGAGACGAATCAAGCCTCATCTCCGGAGCCGCTCACAACATCAGGATGACCCACGTGAAACAAAGTAGCTTTAAAAGCCATAAATCTGAAAATGTGACTGATATGATTGAATCCCTGATTTAATGTGACGGATCATACACGTAAACACGCTGCTCAGAGTTATAAAACGTCTAAGGTTTTAGACGTTTAAACGACTGTTTTACTTGTTCCACGGAGGAAAAATGGACATTAGGAGAAAAATGTGAATTCCTGAATCAGGCGCCTGTTTTTATCTACAGCAGAACCAACACTGAACTTTAATTACATCTAAAGATTTATGAAAAATTATAGTCTTATCTGCTGCACTGTGATGTAGAAATGTGTAAAAAAAACAGAAGGTGAACGACCAACAGCACCTTTTGGTGACTAAAATAAACTTTAACTTGGTTTCAGTTGATTTGATCTAAAATGATGACCTCTGTCCAGTTATGTAAAGTATTATTTTAAGACCGTGGAGACATAAAGAAGGTTCTTTTTGCAGAAAATGTTCACGTCTTCTTATGAAAACGTATAAGACAAAAATATATTTCAGATAAAGTCAGTTAGAGCTCGTTTAAAACCATAATCAGACAAAAAATAAAATCAGCACTTCTCTAAATCTGACTTAACAAAAATGTGTATTTTGTTTGATGTGAGCTAAACGAAAAAACTAATCTTGATCATTTTTTACGTTTTTTTCTTTGAGGCAGAAAATCTTTTAAAAGTCTGTAATTGTTTTAAAAATGTGACAAAATATCTAAAGTGAGTAAAACTTTTAGCTTTGTGACTTTAAGCAACATAAATGGTCTTTGCTCAAGCACGACTGTAAATCTGGTCAAACAGTAAAAACAGACTTTGTTGAGTAAATAATCGTGTTTAACGTTTGGATTTTGTTTTTATGATTTAACCAGAAATTCTGAACAATGTTTTATTAAAGCGCGTGTTCTTAAGATGCTGACAGGTTTATAAAAATGCAGATTTTATTTGCTTAGTGTGACGCAAACTTCAGTGACGATTCAGAATATCAGGAGAGGTGGATTTTTATGAAAACTTTGAAACCGTTTCATTCTAAAAAAGTTAAATCTGGTCCTCTGGACATTCAAAAAAAA